ATGAGGTTCTAAACCGTCTATAGGTGGCTATACATGGGGGATTTAGCAAGGCTGGTGCTATTTATCTGAGCGATGGTGGAATATATTTTGATTATTCTTCACCCGTTTCGGTGACCCCCACAATAATAGTTAAGATGCGCCAGGGGTGTCGCCCGGAAAAAGATCTGCGGTCGGTGGTTAAGATTCCCCAACAGCAAGTGGATGGGTGGCTATTTTAATACGTCTAATCGATTTAAGACAATTTTGAATATTGGATATCGAAGACTGGATATGCGAAAAAAATATGTCATATGTATGTCATATATTTACATATATCAAATGTATACATATATATTATATATATGTACATATACTTCCCAGCGCAGTACTCAGATTTTGTAGGGTATCCAAGGTAACGATCCGGATCCGAAACAAAAATCACCGGAAAGCCCAGGGGGTTGGAGTAAACATGTGGAAAACCCATGGTTTCCTTGGAAAATGATCTTGAAATGGTGGCTTTTAAGCCATATTTATCTATGTTTACAGGAGGGTAGATTTGTTTTTTTTACCCATGGTGCATTGAAAATGTTCCCACCAATCTATTGAACAAGTGAAGGAATGGAGCCATGGCCATGGGCGATCGAGGCCCAGTGATGAGCAAAAGCTGCGCGAGGTGCTACAGTGCAATGCACCTTGGACGCTGAACCTTTGAACCCTGGGATACTGCAGCCCTTTGTGGATGTCCCCTTTGTAAGATGGGTGTTCAATCCACCAACCCAAAAAAAAACGGTGAAGCATTCGTTGTGGCTTGGTAGGTGATGTTCAAATCTTCAGTCGTATCATCCAGGCTCAATGGGAATGCCAACATAGGGCAATATCCCACCAAAACCATGGGAAAAGACGAGAAAGTCCAGCTGCAAGATGCCTGGAATCTCAGCTTCCAGCTGAGGTCAAGACTTACTACGAAGAAAATCGCAACCGCTGCCGCGATCTAGGAGTTGATCAGCAGCCAGCCTTCCCTTTCCAGATCGATTTGGAGGACCTAAAAAATGGCAGGTGAATTGTTTTTTCTGACATAAACATGCTTGAACATGAAGTCGATGATCATTTATCCAGTTATCCCAGGTTTCATGACTTCAGTCTATTTCATGTTATTTAATAAAGTATATAGCCATCATAACCCACTACTATGATCAGTTTTATTATCAAAGCTTATTCAGCCATCTATCTCATCATTACCCACTATAGCCATTATAGTACATAGCCACCATTATTATCATTCTATATCATTTTAGTATTATAACTACATATAGTGCCATTATTATTATAGTATATTGTAGTATAAAGCCATCAAAACCCTATCTCATCCCCACTTCTCCCAGCGCGAAAAAAGCGCGAGGAAGCCATGAGCGATGTCACCTCAGCCAGGGATCGCTCCATGACGCTGCAGCTGCTTGTCGATTTTCGTGGAAGCGGTGGCAGATGGATGCTAAGGTTGGAATGATATGTATACTATATGTATAAAATATAATAATTAAAGTTACTATGATTACTTATCATTATTGTGATTATTATAGTTAGTATAATATTATAGATATTTTTTTATACGTCATATATGAAAGGTTCCTAAGTCATAGGGGCACCCGGGTGCATAGCCCCACAAAAGGGGATACCCTCCTGCTGCCATGGTCAAAAGCTGGAATAGGTTGAGCCACACTATTGGGGGATGGCTGTACCACCATGAACTCCATTAAGTTCAATCTGGGGAATCCCCGATGATGCTGGGATAACGGGTGTTTTGGAAAATTGAATCAAAACAAACACCATGTTATTTTTTCCGATTAAAAATACCCAACAATGACGAATAAATTGAATGATTTGGGGGGGGGGGCATTTCAAGAAGCTCCGAAATATTATTGCTTAGTTCTATGATTGTGAATCGTCCAGACTCCTCTCCAAGAAATTCCCAAAAGCCTCCCAGATCATTTGCGTGGCCGGCTCATGAGGCCTTAAAAAATCTGATAACAATGGGATCCTCCAAGCCCAAAGGATGTAAATGTCACCGGTCGATGCATATCTTGGTGGCGTGACCCTGTGATCCCAGGCCGGGCTATGCTCACAGCATCGACGTGTCGCTGGCGGTGATCCCGCTCTATGTGAAGGACATGGGACCACAGATGGACTGGTCGAGGCTGTGAACATGTAAGAAACATCTCAGCATATGGTTGTGGTGGTTGTGGTTATGATACCAAAAACTGGACGGCTAAGACCATCTAAGACAAAGAGAGCCAACTTCAGATGCTACCCATGCAATGGAGCAATGCCATGCAATGCGGTGCTCGGGTGGTCCCACAAGAAGTAACCCTACACATAGACGAGCCCAGATGCATCGCCACAAAGGACATGCTGGGATCGACATCCATTGCCACCTTCTATGTTGAGGTGGAGGCTGTACGTGTGTACAAGCAGGCAGGGACCTGCCAAGAAGTGGGTCTTTCATCCCTGTGCCCTCTTCAGTTTTGTGGGTGCCAAAATGGAGGTTGAGGCCTCCTTGAAGTACAGTTCATGAGACATTCCTGGGCCCCAAAGGAGAGCATGTTTCAGCTCAAAAGAATCACAGTCATGTGGGAAACCCAATGATAAACCTACCAGTTGGGGATGGTTTATAGCACCCATTCATGATTTATTATTGACTTTATCACAATGTGCCATGCAATGCTGCTGATTGATGTAAATTCCGCTGTGACGCATGAGACGGATTTGTGAAATTGGTGAGACAAAATTCTCGTGGTATCCCAACTTTTCCCAAAAACACAGAGATATTTGTTAATTGATTTGTCTCAACCTCAACCATGATTGTGAAACATTAACTTCATTAAGACATCTTTGTCAACTGTCACTATTTTGGAGCTTAACCGGCCAACTACAACCTGGGAGGTCACCGTCACTGTCACTGTGTTTCGACCATTCTGGGCCTGTGAAAAGATCAAAGATGTTCCATATCTTGGCTCAACGGATGATGCCAATGGAGTCAGACCATGTCAGACCTCTAAAAATGGAAAGATGCTCGCAATAGAAAATTCATACTGGTTGGTGGTTTGGAACATTTTTATTTTTCCATATATTGGGAGTAATCATCCCAACTGACTTTCATAGTTTTCAGAGGGTTGAAACCACCAACCAGCATACATTGTTGCATCTTGTTACTGGTTCTTGTTGCCTTCATTGGAGGGTGCATCCCGGTAAGTGGCTAGTAGTTCTATTATACCCCGTCATATATGGCTTATATGCGGGCTATAGATTTAGGTTATAGACCACAGATCCTATTTGAGTCCCGCAGATCCAAGTATCAATTATTTATATCAGATATATCATGTATATGATTGATATGAGTCATATCACACAAATCCATACAAATCCCATAGTCAATCTGCATTATATATATATAGTCATACCAATCATATCAATATGTATCACTCATTTATTCTATCCATCCATCCATCCATCCATCCATGCATGCATGCATGCATACATATATATATATATAATTATATAATACATACTCTAATATATATATACATATAGTATATCCATAGTTGGTTGCCAAGGCCCACTTTCTCCAGTTTCAGCCAGGCCTTGGGCTTCCGAGAACGCAACGAGGCGCAGGTCCGTGTGAAGTTTCGCCTCAGCGAAAAGGCCAAGGCCCTGATGAAACAACCGGCGCCTTGGCCCTGAAAATTTCGCGGAAATGGTTGGTTTATATGGACTTGATATGGTTTATATGGGATATGATGGGAAGAACATGTGGGATTTTTGGGAAACTTGGGATAAATTACGGTAATGCCATCGGGATATGATGTTTTTTCCCCACCTGCCAGGTGAGGGTTGTTAGATTTTATGTCAGTTGCCTCCTCCTCCTCCTCCTTCTCCTCCTTCTCCTCCTTCTCCTCCTCCTCCTCCGCCTCCTCCTGCCTCGTCCTCCTCTCCTCCTCCTCCTCGTCCTCCTCGTCGTCCTCGTCGTCCTCGTCGTCCTTGCTCAACTGCGACCGCGATCCACAGTGTTCTCTGCCGGACCTCAACCACGACCATCCACGCCCAGTGTTCCCTGCCGGACCTCAACCACGACCATCCACGCCCAATGTTCCCTGCCGGACCTCAACCACGACCATCCTCGCCCAGTGTTCCCTGCCGGACCTCAACCACGACCATCCACGCCCAGTGTTCCCTGCCGGACCTCAACCGCGAGTATCCACGCCAAGTGTTCCCTGCCGGACCTCATGTAGGAAGATATGGGACAAAGAATGTGCAGAAGAAAGTTAGAAAGAATGTCAGAAAGAATGTCAGAAGATATGCCAGAAGATATGCCAGAAGATAGCCAGATAGAATGCCAGATAATATGCCAGAAGATATGCCAGATAGAATGCCAGATAGAATGCCAGAAGATTTGCCAGATAGAATGCCAGAAAATATGCCAGAAGATATGCCAGATAGATATGTCAGAAGATATGCCAGAAGATATGCCAGAAGATATGCCAGAAGATATGTCAGAATATATGCCAGAAGATATGTCAGATAGAATGCCAGATAGAATATGCCCAGATAGAATGCCAGAAGATATGTCAGATAGAGTGCCAGAAGATATGCCAGATAGAATGCCAGAAGATTTGCCAGATAGAATGCCAGAAGATATGCCAGAAGATATGCCAGATCATATGCCAGAAGATATGCCAGATAGAATGTCAAATAGAATGTCAGAAGATATGTCAGATAGAATGCCAGAAGATTTGCCAGTAGGAAAATGTATAAATGTCATGGTGGGGATCACACGAAGTAAAGTAATTTTAAATATTATATCAAGGTTGGGTAAATATTATATACCACTAGTGGATGTCTAATGGGATGATAATGGAAGATATTGGATGACACTCCTTCGCGATGGTTGATCCATTCGCCGTTCATCCCCAAGGGATTTGCCATTATGCTTAATTCTAAGACCTCAAAACCACCATATAAGCACGATTGTTTAGCATATACACAGAAATATGTGCACCACATACGTACGTACGTACGTACGTACGTACGTACCTACATACCTACATGCATGCATGCATGCATACATACATATATGCATACATGCATACATGCATACATGCATACATGCATAGATACATACATACATACATACATTCATACATGCATCCATATATCCATGCATGCATCCATGCATCCATGCATCCATGCATCCATGCATCCATGCATCCATGCATGCGTGCATGCGTGCATGCATGCATACATGCATACATGCATACGTACAATTCATACATACAATTCATATATTCCATATATATACCATATATATATACCATATATATACCATATATGTACCATATATTTACCATATATATACCATATATATACCATATATATACCATATATATACCATATATATATATACCATTTATACATTGAAGATATGTTAGTACTTTATATAACCTCTATGTGCAGTGTATAGATCCAGGGGTTAGTATGAGCCCGATGTTACTTTTGGCTCAAGCAAAACAAGGAGCGCCGTCGCTCGATATCCTGTTTTGATGGTAGCGCGTGAGCCTGGTGAATCCGACGCTGACTACGAGCTGAGAAAGCTCCTCTTCGGAGGAGAGCTCAGCGGCTGGTCCAGCCGCGAGCTCAGGACCGGGAGCGGCTGGTTCAGCCGCCCCGGTAGTGATAGCGGAAGAAGAACCGCAGAGAGAAGAAGCCCCAGAGAACCCAGACAAAGCCCCAAAGAGCCCAGGAAAGCCCGAGAGAGCCAGAGAGCCAAGCCTAGAAGAAGTGAGCACAGTTCAAGTAGAAATAGGATCCCGAGTTACCTTGAGGTCAGGCGTAAAGACTTATCAGGTTAAGGGACTCCACCAACAGTCACAGGTCGAAGAGGGCGACGGTCCAGCAGGACGAGATAGGTCCGCGTTTGTGGAAAGACTGAGGGCTCCGGACAGAGGGCCAAGTGAGAGCGCACCGTGGAGGAGGCCTGAGAACCTGCCGCAGGAGGAGCAGTCAGGCCAAGCTCCAGGTGTAAGGTCTGAGCACGGACAGGGGTTCAGACTTAGGTCGCAACAGAGCCGCCAGTATAGAGCCTTGAAAAGCCAGATCAGACTTGCCAAGAAGCTGGGTGCCACAGTCCCAGGAAATATCAAAGCCCAAGTAGAGGACTTTGGAGAGGGTCGGAAGACCTACAAGAGAGAGGGAGGTAAGACTCTCGCTCTGAGCAAACGGTCGTTTCGACCGGGGCAGATCCGATTGAAGTCATTGTCAACCCATTCAATAAGGTTGAAGTCCGTGGCACGATCCGCAAGGCCTGCGAGTTCCAAGGCCAAACCAAAGCCGAAGCCGAAGCCGAAGCCTAAACAGCCAGTCAGGAATCGAATCAGAGGGCCAGCAAAAGAAGGATTGAAAGTTCACGGAAGGGCCTTGAAGTTGAACAAGAAAATCCGTGACTTGGCAGAGAAGTGGGCAGCGGACAACGCACTCAGTCCGTACTTCCTTGAATCCCCATACCAGGTGCGTAATCTGGCAGTTCGGCAGCTGAAGCGGGAAACTGGAGCAAAGGGCACAGTAGCTTCAGTCTTGATCAAGCAGCTTTGGAACTTGCCGAACGAGGGAACAGAAGAAAAGGGCCCAAGTGAAGCTTGCAGCTCTTGTGACGAAAGGGGCAAGAAGATTGAGCCGGGCGTAGCCGAGTTTCTTAGGAAGCGCGCTGCAGAGAAGGCCGAGACTGAGGCTAAGAGAGCCAAGGTCGAGGCTTCCAAACCCTAAGCGGTGTACAGGAGCGGCTTGGTAGTGAGCCGCCACAACGGACGCTTCGTCCGTCTTGAGGAAAAGAGAGTTGGGTGCACCGTAGGTCACAGGGATGGAGCAGCAAGTCCAGCAATTAGCAGAAGTAGTCCAGCAACTCCAAGTTAAGCAACAAGAATTGACGCAGGAAAACCAAAGATTAAGAGAGGGTCAGGCAGGAGTACAGGCATTGGCGACATCAGTAGCAGAACTAGCCCAGTCTATGAAGAAGGAACACAAAGACAGGAAAATCCTGGTAGACACCAAGGGGTTAGGCAAACCGGACCCATTTGACAACAAAGAGGAAAGTTTCAGACGATGGATTCGTTCTATCAACAACTTGGTCACGGGTATCTTTGGAACCGAATTTGAGAAAGTTCTTGAAGAGTGTTTGGATTCCGAGGAACCTGTAACCGTACCAGAATTAGAAGTAACTCATGGGGACCCGGATGGACCCATTGAGAACTTAGAAGACAAGGATGACCAGTTGTTCCGGGTACTATGCCACTTGTGTACCGGGGAAAGCGAAGACTTGGTTGTGGGTTCAGGTAATGGTTTCGAAGCCTATAGGAGGCTGTGTAGGAGATGGGACCCCGCCACGAGCGGGCGTAAGAGAAATCTCCTAAGAGCCATCCTGACCCCAGAGCGGTGCAAGAACTGGGCCGCCGTGAGGCCAGCTATAGAGCAGCTGGAGGACCTCATCAGGCGCTATGAGTCGCGCAAGTCAGCATCCGGGGTTCGGGAACGGTTGTCAGATGATATCAAATCAGCTTCATTAGAGCTACTGGTTCCGAGTGACTTGGAGAAACATTTGATCCTTAATAAAAATAGACTGACCAGCTATGATTTGATGAAACAAGAAATTGAGTTGGTAGTCGAAACAAGTTTAGGATCAAAAGGAACAGTCACAAGACCAGGAGCAGCGAGTTCGTCGGGACCCCAACCAATGGATGTTGACGCAGTAACCCAATGGGTAGCTAGCTTGGTAAAAGGTGCTGGAAAAGGTAAGGGCAAGGCTAAAGGCAAAGGCAAGGACAAGGGTAAGTCTAAAGGAAAAGATAGCAAAGGCTCAGGTTCTAAAGACCGAGACTTCGAATGCTACAATTGCGGCAAAAGAGGTCACAAAGCGGCAGACTGTTGGTCAAAGAAGAAAGATGGAAAAGGCAAAGGGGGCTCAAACAAGGGCAATCAGAAGGGCAATTCAAAGGGCAAGAAACACGTTTCAGGGCTTGATGGAGGTGAAGATGAAGGAGGTCAGGAAGCGGGTCGTGAACCCGCGCCTGAAGCTGATGTGGGATTGTTTGACTTAGGGTCAAAAGAGGTTAGTCCACCAGCGGCCGATTCGGCCGCGGTGGAAGAATGGGTGAGGTTCAACCTGGACACGGGGGCTGCTCAGACAGCCATCCCCAAGGTTTGGGGAAAGGACATGGTCACTGTCAAACCTGGCAGTGAAGTAGTTTTCAAGACAGCATCCGGGGAGTTGGTGCCGAGTGATGGCACTGGAACCTTTATCGGGTTCGGAGAGAGCGGCATGAAGTGCCGCGTGCAAGGGGCTGTTGCCGACGTGCATAAGCCTTTGATCTCAGCGCACAAGTGCCTGGGACATGGAAGGATTGCTGTGCTTGACGCAGATGGCGGCCAGCTAGTGCCGTTGGAATCGAAAGCCGGAAGGGCTATCCAGCGAATACTCACCAAGGCATCGGTATCCGAGACAAAGACTTGGATGCCTGTGTATCAGGAGAGAGGCGTGTACAATTTCTACCTTCGAAGAAAGGTGGACAGAACCACATCCAGCATGAGTGCAGTTGAAGTCCATGCGGACTTGAATGCAAGCTCTGCTGCTGAACGGGAACCTCAGGATCGGGCCGACCCGCCTGAGGAGCCTATGGTGGCAGAAGAGGAATTAGAAGAAGTTGTTGAGGCCGAAAGGCCTGTCCAGATAAGAGCACCGGAGGAGCCAACTCCGGCTGAGATCGGGGAGCACGAGTCCATGGGGCACGTGCAATACAGAGACTGGTGCAGGCATTGCATCGCCGGAAGAGCGGTTGGTCAACCGCACCGGACAAGGAGTGAAGAGCAAAGGGCAAAGAATGTGTTGCCCACGGTGTCTTTCGACTATGCCTTCATGTCGAGGGGAGTCGAAGAAGACGATGAAAGGCTGCGGCCCATCCTCGTGATGAAGGATGACAAAACGCAAAGCGTCGCAGCAACCTTTGTGGACTCAAAGGGTGCTACTCAGTATGCCGTCAAGTTTGCGGCGAACTTCCTCCGAACCTTAGGGTATCGGAAGGTGGTGTTGAAGTCGGATGGAGAGCATTCCATCATTGCACTGAAGAGTGCGGCGGCCAGAGAGGCCGCAGTTGAAGCGGTGGCTGAAGAATCACCGCCGGGTGATCACCAAGCGAATGGGATGGTAGAGAATGCCATTCGAGAAGTGAAACGGCAGATCCGAGTGTTGAGATCAGCCTTGGAAGAAAAGATTGGAAAAGTCTTGACAGATGATGATCCGGTCTTGACGTGGCTGCCAAGACAGGCGGCAGACCTGTTGAACAGGTACAAGAAAGGCACAGACGGGAGAACTGCAGAGACCCGTCGGAGTGGAAAGCAATGGCGAAAACCAGCCATAGCCTTTGGGGAACGACTCTACTTCAAAGAGGTTGGAGAGAGCGTGAGAATCCTCAAGGATGGCAGGTACATAGGGCATCATGGACGCACAGGTTCATTGTTGCTGATGACTTCGGAAGGAGTCAAGAGAGGCGTAGGCTTCAGAAGAATGCCAGAGGCAGATCGTTGGGATCCCAGCCAGTGGGATCAACTGAAGGGCATTCCTTGGGAATTCAATGCCCCAAGGCCAAGTGTCCCGAGACTGGTTGATGAGGACCGCTTGGTAGTCCCACCACCAGTCGAGGCTAGAGTGGCACCGCCACAGAAAAGGAGGATGTACATCAGACGTGAAGATGTGCATAAGTATGGAGCAACCGAGAACTGTCCTGGTTGCAGGTGTATCCTCGAAGATAGGAGGACAACAGTTCCACATACCGAGGGTTGTAGAAACCGAATTGTGGAAGCAATGGAAAAGGATGAGACAGGTGCAGAAAGGATTCAAGCACATGAGAAGAAGCGGAAAGAAGCAAGCACTGAAAAGAAAAGCAAACCAGCGGTCGTTTCGACCGATGATCCTGAGATCACTGCAGGCGATGCCGAAGGCAGACCTGCAGCTTCAGGAGCTGGAGGCAGTACAGATCCAGTTCCTGAGAGTGAACAAGAAAGAGTAGTGTTGAAGAGACAGACCTTGGAGGAACCAAGGACTCTACCGCCTAAGGCGAAACCAAAGACACAGCCACAGAGCGTGAAAAGAACTGGTGAAATGCAGATAGCCAGGCAAGCACCAATGGCAAAGGCCAAGACAGAGGCAGCACCAAAAGAAAAGAGACCTGCAGAAGAAACTGTGGAAAACCTCCAAGCGAGAACAGAGGAGCAAGCGGTAGCTGACACCGCGGCTCCTAGTTCATCCTTGGGGACCCAGGAGCTGAAAAGTACTGTTTTAACAGCGCTCAAGGAGGTCGCATACGAGAACATCAAGACGTTGGTGCAAGAAACATACAAGAAGAACGGTGTTGAAATATCAGCACAAGAAGTAGTAGACATCTCTAGCCTGAGCTGCGAAATGGCAGCTGTGGATATCGCAGAGGTGTATTCACCAAAGCGATTCACCGCACTAGCCGAACAGTTCAAATTGAGGCCAGGCTTTGCAATAGACCTGAGTGAGAAGAAGGCAGATGGAGAGTTTTGGAACCTCAACAAGCCAGCAGATGTTGAGGAGCTTCACAACTTGTTGGAGAGAGACGAACCATTGTTGCTCACAGGTTCGCCACCGTGCAACTTGTTTTCGAGACTGCAATACATCTCATGGTACAAGTTGCCACCAGAAGTTCGAGAGAAGAGAATGAAGGAGGCTTTGCACCACCTCCACACGGCGTGTGACGCTTATGAGGTACAGCTTAATGCTGGTAGATACTTTCTACACGAAGCGCCGTGGTCAGCTTCGAGCTGGAATGATGAGAGAGTAGAGCGGATTGCATCAAGAGATGATGTCTACACAGTCCGCGGTCCCATGTGTAAGTGGGGAATGCAAGCCACAGATCGCAGAGGTTTGCAAGGAAACGGCTATGTCAGGAAAGAAACGGGCTGGATGACGAATCATCCAGGACTAGCCGAACTGTTGCAAACAGAGTGCACTAACGAGACAGGAGGTGCACCTTGGCATAGACACATCCACCTCATCGGTGGAATAGCAAGACAGGCCGCACAGTATCCGCCCAAACTGGTACGTGCAGTACTCAAGTGTTTGAGAGACGAACTGGAATCAAAAGGAGAACTTAGTGCAGTTGAGGCGCAAAACGCCGGACCAATAGCAGAAGTTCCACTGATCGATCCACGATTTGAAGAGATGTTTGTGGACGATGTGAACGGTGGCATTTTGCCGACCGAAGAAGTCAAGAAGGCAAGGCAGAAGGAAATGGATTACCTGCACAAGCAGGGAGTGTACAAGGTTGTACCAATAGAAGAATGTTTCACTGAAACGGGCAGAAAGCCCATTGGCGTCCGATGGATAGATACCAACAAAGGCGATCCGGACAACCCGAACTTCCGGAGTCGCTTAGTAGTCCGGGAGATTAAGGCAGCTAAGAAACCTGAAGAGCAGCTGCCAGCCAATTTGCTTTTTAGCAGCACACCGCCGCTTGAAGCGATGCGGCTGCTGTGTTCGCTCTATGCAACAAAGCAAAGGTCAATCCATGGTAGGAAATTGAAGATGGCATTGTGGGACATCTCAAGAGCCCACTTTTATGGTACTCCAAAGCGGAAGATTTACATCGAGCTGCCAAGTGAAGAGCCGGCAGCCGAAGGAGGCAAGATGTGTGGATTGCTCGAAAAGAGCATGTATGGCACACAAGATGCTCCGAGTATATGGCAGAGTCATTACTCACAGATCCTGATAGATGCAGGGTACCAGCGTGGTAGATCGAACGCTTCAGTATTCTACCACCCAGTCTTGGATTGTAGAATCATGATCCATGGAGACGATTTCCTAGCTCTCGGGGATCGGCCGGCATTGGCCGAACTGGAGAGTCTTCTGAAGAAGAACTATGAGCTGAAATGTCTCGGAGTGATGGGCGATGAGCCCGGAGATGCGCGAGAAGTTCATTTCTTGAACCGTCTGATCCGTTGTGGAACTCAAAACAACGGTGAATCAGCAATATGGATAGAACCAGACAGGAGGCACGTTGACCTCCTGATCCAGAGCCTTGGACTGGAGCATGCCAAAGGCACTGAGACTCCAGACCTCAAGAAATCAGTAGACCAGCAGATGCTAGAGGCAAGAAGCCCAGCATTACCAAAAGAGCAGCAGTCACTATACCGGTCAGCGGTGATGCGAGCAGCTTATCTCTCGCAGGACCGCCCTGACATTGGCCACGCAGTCAAGAACTTGGCGAGGCGAATGGTTCAGCCTACAGAGGCTAGCCTAACGGATCTCAAAAGACTTGTGAGATACTTGATCCGATTCCCTGACATTGGACAAGTGTTTGCAAAGCAGACGTTGCCTGAGAAGTTAACTATCCAAGTTGATGCAGATCATGGCGGAGATGCCGTGACAAGACGTTCGACAACAGGAATGTTAGCTTTCTTTGGGAGACACGTGCTCAAACATAGTTCCAACGTTCAGAGCACTATTGCTCTGTCCACAGGGGAGTCAGAGTATTATGCGCTTGTCAAAGGAGGTTCGACAGGGTTGGGACTTCAGTCCCTACTGGCAGACTTTGGAATAGAAACCAGAGTCGTAATAGAAAGTGACAGCAATGCTGCAAAAGGGACGGTGAACCGAGTCGGGCTCGGGAAAGCTCGCCACATACAGACTCGTTATTTGTGGTTACAAGAACGAGTGGCGGAGGGCCATCTGACAGTGCATCACGTAGCAGGAAAGAAGAACAAGTCAGATGTGTTGACGAAGCCCGTACCGGGAGTCCAGATGAAGCAAACGATGGAAAAACCCGGCTATCTCTACTTGTCAAGTAGGAGTAAAGGCCAACTCAACTTGCTGAAATAGAGCAAGGTCCCTGGCCAAGCTCCACTACCTATTACCTCAAGTTCGACATCTGAGAGCCGGGAACTAGATTCCTTTGCGAGTGTAGTAAACCCACTCTTCAAGGAAGGAGGAGTGAAGATATGTTAGTACTTTATATAACCTCTATGTGCAGTGTATAGATCCAGGGGTTAGTATGAGCCCGATGTTACTTTTGGCTCAAGCAAAACAAGGAGCGCCGTCGCTCGATATCCTGTTTTGATACATACCATATATATACCATATATTTACCATATATATATATGTATACCATTTACATACCATTTATATACCATATATATATATACCATATATTTACCATATATATACCATATATATATACCATATATTTACCATATATTTACCATATATATATACCATATATTTACCATATATATATATATACCATATATATACCATATATAAATATCCATATATACCATATATATACCATATATAAATATCCATATATACCATATATACCATGTGCCATTATACCATGATGAAACACTTCCCAAGATGCCATTCCCACGGACGAGGTCATGCCCTGGGCCAACTTCCTGTCGCAAGCTGGCGCTTGGTTCGGCATCTGGGGCATTGCCTCGGTGGTCCTGTGGGGAACCCCGGAAGGCCTGGCGGTTTCTGCTGTGTTTGTGGTATATAAAATACATATTTTCTTTGTATGTATATCATATCATATATATATATTATATATATATATGTATGCATATGCATATGCATTTGTACATGCATTTGTATATGTATATGTATCTCTGTGTTTTGTGTGTCACACTTGCCACGGACTCACCAACCGAAGCGGCTAATTAGAGGAGTCCCGATGTTAGTTTTAGTGTGCTTTGCTAGAGTTGTCTTCCACTCTCAATGGTCAGTTAATCAACATGTTTCGATTTGATACTTGCTTGGTTAGCATCTGTTCATTAATAATATTAATGGTTCATTAGTTTGGGTATGTATTTACTTTACTTGAGAGTGTTTTGTTCATTTATTTACAGCGTTTGATTGATGAATGACTTACTTAAATAATCAATTAGTAGAGGAATCCATTCATTAATCATTGGATTGGTTTAAGGGAAAATCTACAGAAAACCATAGTTTTGACCATTAAATATAGGGTTTCCTGTAAATTTTCCCGTAAACCAATCCAATGAATTTATGTTCCAACAGAGGGTGTGTCCACTTCTCGAGGAGCGGATTGTACAAAACCTTCAAGTCACGAACTCAGCGCGGTCGAGCCGATGGCCCGACAGAATGCATCAGATCCCAAAGAAGCTGGATAGAATGGGATATGGAGGTTTCCTAAAATGGGGGTACCCCTAGTTATCATCCATTTTAGTAGGAATTCCCATGATAAAGCATCCATTTTGGGGATCCCCATTCATGGAAACCCCCATATCATGTGGGATAAACAAATGATGAGTTATAGCAATCATCTTAGAATATGTGGGATACAGCAAGGGGATGTACAGCAAGGTTTGTGGCGTGTCGTGAATGAGTGAAGGTGGATTTCACCTGGAAAGTTTTGCGTTCTCTTTGTGCATATCTATACTTCAGGAGGGTGGCTTTACTTTGTGAGTCGTAATTGATGGATATTATGAGGATATGATAAGATTCCTGATGGCTTTGCACTTTGGAAGTTGCCGGTTCATCCCAGGATTCAACTGGAGAGTTGTCACTGAGCTTCTCACCATGCGTTCCTTCCATAACGACATAATGTGGGTTTTTCAACTACCCACAGATGGAAGATTTCCTCCTATAATCAGTTCTATGATTTTGAACTTACGGTCGTGAAATGTGATGTGAACTTCAATGGGGGCTCCAATCTCAACTTCTAGCTCGACGGTACCCATGCATTGATTTGACACTTGGATCATCCACATGATCATAAGTATATGACTAGCCAAGATAGTTACAAGACATGACGATAAGATGGTAGAAACTACATCCATTTACACCCTCGATATGTGGTTTTTCACATAGCGAAGTCATGGCTCTATTAAAGATTTAGCCAACTGAAAAAGATGCTGGTCTGACCAATCGCCAACTGTCAAAATTGCCAAATCCATTAATCATTGGCACTGAATGTATAAAAAAAACCTATATTTCAGTTTCCATCCTCAAACCGTAGAATCTATGGATGGTATAAACATGTAATTAACAAAAAACCTCCAGTTTTCTGGAGGTAAAACTGGAGGTTGGCAAAATCCGGACTCGAGGATGTGGGGTGACCTCGGTCCGCGCGATGGAGAGCTCACCCAAGAGGAGTATCAGGACCTCGGAAATCCCAAGAAATCCATGGAGTTTTTGACGTCAAGAAAAAAAAGAATTGCTGGGTAGATATTAGGACATGAGTTTTTGACCTCAAGAAGTGGAGGGTAAACTATTCGAAATGATATTTTGTCAACGGATTGGGTTTTAAAGGAGAATGAACTGGAAACCCACGGCTTTTCGACCACTTCTCGGAATCGCCACAACATGTTGCCAGGTGTTGAAGCAAAAAACATTGTGGAACCAAGTTACAAGTGAACAACAAGTATGGATGCAAAAATCTTTGATTGGCGCTTTGAAACAGTGGTGTTTTTCATATATATATATATATATATGTATGTATGTATATATACATGTGTATAATATGTAAATCAAAGACGTATACATGTGTACATTGACGCATGTTGTATCCCTTTTCTATCCAAATGTTTGCCAGGCCCAGCATGAAGAGAAGATCGATTTCAAAAAGAAGCGCGCAGCACGAAAGATCAAGGCCTTGCTCGATGCCGGACGATTGGACGATGGGGCGATAGGCCATGGGTTCCATGGGGAAAGCGACTTCGAAAGCCAAACTCTGGTGGTTTTTGTTTAGCCTCATTTCCCCTATGTTAAAGGATTGCCGTGCCACTTTGGGACGGAAAATTGATGAAATGGACGGATTGATGTTTCCCTGTTGGAGGGTCTCCTAATGGAAGTAATGTAGGGAAGAAGTTGTGACCGAAGAAGCAAAGTTGAGGCCCAAAGGTTTTGTCCTTTGGGGTTGACGACGCTGAGAAACGGCATCATTGGTTCATCGATTTCGACAGCGCTAGAGGTGAAGGTAACTTTGAATGACCTAATCTTGGTGCACCAAAAAATATGAACACAATGCTTAACAAAAATCCGCGGATGAGGGCACCAATTCTCGGACAAACGCAAAGATCAAAATTGGTGGTATATCCCGCTATATCGCATCGTATCTCCAGCTTTGGTTGCTTCTCATCCATCAGAAAAATCGCCCAACTGAACCAGGCGCAGCTTGAAGAAGTGCGAGGAAACCCAGTGTTAGGATCAAGGCTCGATGCCGTCCAACAAAACAGTTTAGCAATATATTCAATAAATATATATATATATATATGGCTAGAGTCATACCCACAATGCCATAACTTATCCAACTTTTTACCCATCTCTCATGTTCAATCATATTCCCAATTTTTGCTGGTGCAATTCCCATGTTCAGTCGTGATTACATCCCGATTTTCCGCAGATAACATCCCCATTTTGCGGCCCCAGGTTCAGTGATCGAGGCCTCCAAGTGAGCTACCAGAAGGCGGGCCGGCGCCGGGAGGTATCGGTTGATGGTTGAAACCATGTCTGTTTTTACCAAACATGGGGAAATGACACCATCAATGGGGATCCAATATTCTTGGTTTCAATGTCTGTTTATCCCATGGGGAAACGGGAAAAGTTCCCTCAATAAATGGGATCTAATATCGAATATAAAAAATATCATATCACTGGTTTCAACTTCTTGAATCGTTGAAGCAACCCCAAGAATTGGGGAGTCTGGTCCTCTGATTATTTAACGGTTTGCGAACTGGAAAATTACCATGTTTAAATCATCTATAATGGTCCATTGTCCACTTTGCTATGTGAAAGCTATGTCCAGTTCGCCAAAGCCAGAGCCTGGGAGCAGCACAAAAAATAGGGTGATCTCTGCGGACTCTGTGTTGCTGGTTGATGCTGTCTTAGAATCTAGTATAAATTAGCTAGACTTACAGTACATTATACTGCACTAAAGTACACTACAGTGCATTACATTACATTACATGACACCAGTACATTATATTACATTACATTACATTACATTACACAGCATTTATTTCATGTATATATATATACACACGTATAGATGCATATATATATATATAAATGATGTCAAGCAAACAAAAAACAAACTAAGAAACAGCGGAGCGATCAAACTGCTGAAAAAAATATAATGATAGACCAAACACAGAACCCTCTGGTCCTTGAATTGCATGACAGAGTAGAATGCCTTGAATTGCATGACGGAGTAGAATGACTATTTTAATACTATATTGGTAACATCATCAAATACTCTTGTATTATCAAATACTATGATTGTATTGTTGTATTAGAACTATACATTGTTGATACTTTTTGATCTTGAAGTTGTCTTAGTGACCAGCAGTTTTCCCCACGTTGTTTCATTTCATCCCTAGACACGTCTCTCGCCCATAGACAGAGTATATGTTCCTACTTACATACCCAATAATATCCACGATTGTTGGCTATATCCATTCTATCTCATTGCATACCCATGAAATCCCTATGAAGTTTTCTTAGGCTCGGATATGTCCATTTTCTTGGAACATATTCTCAACTGAGCAGCATTTTGCACCTGAGAATCTTGGGATATTTCGTGATATGTCTGTTTTGCGCGGTGAAAAAATGGGTTCACCAATAACCATGTCGCAAAACACAAAATATGATAAAACCATATTTTGGCCTGGCCTATTTTCAGACACAGCCATATTTTCGCGATTTGACCGCAGGTTTACGACCTTTTGGTGCAGCCTAGCAGCACCACTGGTTTGCGCAGTCAAGTGCTCCTGAGCCAAGTCCTGAAGGCACGGTGAACTCGCTGAAGTATATGGGTACCCTCTGGTGATTCATGGTGATTTAAGAGGATTTCATGGTGGTTTAGTGGGATCTAATGGTGATGAATGGGGGTTTAACCTCTGGTAATTTACCATAGGGAAAATCACCACTTCTAGGTAAATCAACTAGAACTGGGCCATTTTCCATAGCAAAATGTGAGTTTACCAGAGGGCATATTATTGATGTGGCTGAAAATGGGTTATATCTCCAAGTGGCTGCTTTACTAGGGAAAAGGATGATTAACCAGTGGATTTAGGAATACTCTATGCCAGACGAACCCATAATATACACTTTGTTGATCTGATGCTATGGAAAAGGCCCTTGTGTAGGTGATTTACCTATTAAAAAGTGTGTTTTCCATAGCAAGTTTTGAATTACCAGAGGTTAATGGTCATCTTGGTTGTAAAATCGAGACTTCACAGGATGTATACCCAAGAATATTGAATCAAATATACGTATTAAAAAGAAATATGTTAAGCAGTCATTTCTATGGGCCATGGTTTCCGTAGCAAACTGCTAAATAACCAAAGGGTATATCCTCAGTCATATCCCCATTAATATCCATTAATTGTCCCACTTGTCTTCCAGTAAATATTCCAGGTGATTATTTTTTGGCAACTATGATAAGTATTCTATAGATTTCCCATAGATGTTCTGGTTTTCTATAGATTTTCCATTAATATGTGTTTTATGTTTTTTCCCCTAGTATTGACCATGACTTTTCATGATCAACTTCACCATTTTCATATCATTTTGCTGATCATTTGGGTATGATATCGCGCGCCATGGTATGACACTGCCCGCAGGGAACCGATCCTCTGGTGGATCTGCCGGAGCAAGTGGTCAGCCTTCTGGGTGAGGCCGTGATTCACGTGGGATCCACCAGAGAAAATCAGGAAAACTATGGGAAATCTATAGGAAAATCGATGAGAAATCCCATGCTGAAGTAAAGAACTTTTCACTAAATCCAGTCGGATGGGATTTCGAATGGAAGATTTCAATCCAGTGGGTACCTCGGGCATCCCCGTTCGAGCGATGGCGTTCAGAAACGCCGAAAAAAAGTTGCTGAATTCTATGGTTTATGGTAGATAGTACGAACTAGTTTTCATGGGGATTATCATGGTTTAGAAACCAACAGACATAACTGGGGCGGCATCCTGTACGGTTGATGATCATTTCCACTATTCAATTGCGATATATTGGAGTATACCCCAGTTTCACAGCCAATATCAATACATATCCATGAATCTGACCTGAGAAACATCATCAAACGGCTGATATTCCATAACATGGTCAGATTACCAGAGACTATATGGAGATCTTCAGATCCAGGACTACCAGCTATTTTCATGTCCAACGGGCTACGAGGGATTTGACCCACAGCCATACATACATACATAGATACATAGATACATAGATAGATAGATAGATACATAGATACATAGATACATAAATACATAAATACATACATACACAATTTTTTGAGGCACGTGCAGTCTCATGGTGCACCCCAAATGGTGGGTCCGCCGTCCTGGCGAGGTGCGCGTTCACTTGGACGAGATGGATGAGGTCGACGACGAATCGGAGCCGGAAGCCTCGGGCTGCGACGCCGCAGTGGCTGTTGAAGGGCAAAAGCATAGGAAAAATGGTGGTTTTACTATAGGAAACCATAAGAAAACCATTGGAAAACATAGGAAACTATAGGAATACCATAGGAAAAGGAGGATTTCATGGATTTATAAATCACAAGTTGACGCAAATAGCTTAGTTTGCTAGGCTTGATTAGGGAGCTCACCGGAAGAAAATAGCTTGGTTATTGGGTTAATGTAGAGACTTGACTACCCAATTTAACTGGGAATTATGATAACCCATAGTAGAGAAACCCAGAACAACCAACTAATATAATGAGATGGCACCAGGCTATGTTTTTCTTGGCTCAAATGGGATTTCACCAGCAGATTTCTGGGGAGTTACAGTAAATCACCATCAAAAAGTCGGTGGATTTCATCCGAAAATCCTAGGATCTACCCAGCAGAAATCATGGATGCAGCAATTGTTATTTACCCTCTGGTTATTTAAGATAGCCATGGTATAGATGGCTCATAGAAATTGATGATTTTCCCAGCTAGAAACCTCCATTTATGAGGGTTTTCCATGGCTATGTTAGTCATAACCAGATGGTACATCTGCAACATCAAATGACTGTGCTTGATATTGAAGATGCTTGGTGACTGGGGCAAACATATAAATAGAAACCCCCGGGGGTAAACTGTTACAGATGTGGATTTTATCCAGCATTTGCAGATAATTTTTTCGAGGAAACCATTGGTGTTCCTGGCTTTCCACACACGGCAAATATGAATCACCAGCGAATTCTGGAAATGACATGCCGATAGATATTATTATAGATAGTTATTGATAGATAGTTATTAATACCATCTGACATGCACATTTAAAACACGGGATTAGTGATAGATAGTTGGGTATCAGATGGCCAGACGGATGGTTTGCGACACCAGAAACATTGGATCCATGGTTCAATTTTCTGGCTATATGGATAACACTGAGAAAAATTACTGAAATATGGATGATAGTTCGTGTTATAATGGTATCTTATTCCAAATACCCATTTTATGAAAATTTATGGCATTTGATATTGCATGGCTAAGGCGGCCATACCTAGTATTGATGGTTGGTCACTGGGGTAACACAAATTTGCGGAGAAGGAAACCAACCAAAGTAGGCATTTAACAAAGCAAAGATTCAGATTAAACTTGATTAAACCAATGAAATGGATTTTGAATCAACAGGAATGGATGGTTGGTGACTAGAGTACACAACACTCCTCAAAAAGATGCAAATGTGTATAAAATCCTTCCAAAATAGTGATAAATGATTCGTGTTCTATCTTGTTGTTACTTTCACGTGACATCTTGGGTTTCTGACTGGTGGTTTTAAATGGGTCTCAATTTTCTCTTTATTTTGGGGAATGATGAGACCCAAAGGACTGAGATTTGTCAGTGCACATAGAACTCCTGACTTCAAGCGATCTTCCCAGAAGGATCTAGGATTGATGATTTGTTACTGGATTTGACCCTATCCAAATATGTGATGTGAGGTGAGGTCTTGGTTCGATGCTTTGAGGTGTTCCTTGGGAATTCTGGCAAGAATGTGACTGTCAATCCAAAGGCAAGCTAATCTATGAATATCATATAATCATCTATAATCTATATCTAAACATCTTAAGCACCGCTGGTCACTAGTCCCCAACTCAGCTTGAAGCCGGTGATTCAGCCGCTTGGGGATGCCAAGGATGGAAGATGAGATGCTCAATAAGATCGAAGAGGAAGAGCGGAAGTGCATCTAGCGGTTGCCCTCTGGTAAATTGACAGTTTGACCCTTAAAATCACCCAGTTTTGGTGGAAACTCATCTTCCCCTATTTGGCAGGGTCGAACTGTGAATTTACTGGGTCGGATTTACCCAAAGAAAAAGCAGGGCCGGTATGACAACCCAAAAAAAAGATAGCATGTGATAAAATCCTACTAAAACTCAATGGCATTTTTTGAAGGGAGGTGATGACAAATGACTTGCAATGATCATGGTGGGATCGCGTACCGTGTGGTTTTCGTCTTTTCGTTTAAGACAAAAATAGCAGAACGGGGCCCACGTGTGTGGAATTCTATGGGGTTGGGTCAAATCCTTGAGATCAAGAAAAAATGCGGGGATGAACATCCGCAACTACCACCTTTTTTGATGATTGATGTCCAGGAAAAAATGAGCTTTGGATCCAGGTCACCAAATATCTGACCGAATCCCACCCATCTTTAGATGGCCTTGGTCATACCCTTACACCCCCACTTTTATAGAGTGAAACTCACACCATATCGGTGCGAAATCACAAAAAACGTGGTTTCAAAGTTGTTTTTCCTATTTTTCCCTAGATGGAAAAGGGGAAAACTCTGACAAATCTTGCAGGAAATCTCCAAGATCCCCATGTTTTCTGATCAAAAGCCTGGAAAACTCCTTTTACCGAGGCGAAACGCGTCCTTGTGCCCCTTGCAATGAGCAAAACTCGACCTCGTGATCCGAAGCTTGACCGGGGAGATGCCCCAAAATATGTGGTGATATAGACAGGAAATATCATATATATAATATAATATAGATATATATATATATAGATAATATAATATATATATACACAAGATTATATATATATACAATAATAATGTAGGTGCGGCAGTGTGCGGAACGACACAGCAGGGGGTCATTTACGGAACGACGAAGTACAGTGGAGAAAGTAATATGATAATATACTGGTTGGTGGTTTCAAACATGAATTTTATTTTTCCATAATATATGGGATACCATTGACTAATCTTTATCAGAGGGGTTGAAACCACCAACCAGTATATATATATACAATAATAATAATACGTAATAATAATTGGTTTTATTGATAATAATAATAATGATAATGATGACAATGGAATATAATAATAGTAAGATGCATATATATATATATAATGGTGATATAATGGAAATATCGTTGGGATTTCCCTCCAGTTTTTTCGAACATGGCTGGGAAATCCTCACGATCGTGAAGGTTTCTAGCTGGGATTGTTTTTCTATAAAATGGCGGATTGTCCATTGCCATGTTTGATTACCAGCGAATATATAGAATCTATCTGATCTGTCTATCTATCTATCTATCTATCCATCCTATCTATCTATCTATCTATCTAATCTAATCTATCCATCATCCCTCTATCTATCTAATCTATCAATCAGCCATCCATCCCTCCATCTAGCTATGCTGGTTCTTTGCTTGGTTCGTGTGCTGTGTCTTCTTCTGTCGTATGGTTCGTGGGGTGCTGAATCGTGTCGAGTGTGTCTATCTGTCGTGGCGGGGGGGGCTGGCTATCGTGGTGGCGGTAGGGTCTGGTCTAGGTCTTGCCTATTGTCTGTCTGATCGGCTAGGGCGTGGTGGCGAGCTGTCTAGTCGTTTTATAGCTGTCCTAGCTGTGTGCGTAGCGGGCAGTCTGTCGAGTCGGGCTAGCGGTCCTAGGGCTGGCTATCTGTCTATCTATCCTATCTATCCTATCTATCCTACCTATCCTATCTTTCCTATCTTCCCTATCTATCCTATCTATCCTATCTATCTATCTATCTATCTATCTATCTGTCTATCTATCTATCTCTCTCTCTCTCTCTCCCACTCTCTCTCCCTCCCGCTCTCTCTATCTATCATCTATCTTTTTATCTATCTATCTATTTATCTTTGTATCTATCTATTTATCTATGTATATACAACCGACAGCTTATCGGGATATTCTGATTAATGGTGAAATAATACACAGCCCATACAAAATATGAATTTTGTCCAGATGAGGCATGTACTCCAGTTTATAGCCATTTTAGTCAGCACTTGGTCATCTTTACTCAGGTCATTTTAAGCGACTGAATTGGGCCATGAAAACAGGGGTGAAATCAGGTCATATTTCCGGTCATCAAACATGGAAAATGCAGCAGAAACCGATAATTTTCCCAACTACTCATAGAAACATAATAGAAACCATATATAAGGCCTATGTAAGGGAATATCCCCCCAATATATGGCCTTATATGGTACAGTACCTCCATTTTAGGATCCTGAAATTTCCATTGAATAGAAACATATAGAAACTATTTCTAAAAGGGTCCCAGTCAGCGAGATCACCAGGTCTGTGGCGACAGGAGGATCGCATGGCACTGCATGGTTTTAGGAACGATGTGTGGCGATTGAAAACCTGTGGTTTCCGACATCGAGACACGGTGGATTGGCGAAGTCTCATTTGACTGGAGAATATCATCAAACTTACTGGTGCTAAACGCAGGGAATGAGGAAATGATCCATAATCACTATCAGTAATAATCCCATTGATTAACAATGGATATCTGGTTGGTGGTTTCAAACATGAATGTTTTTTCCATTTCATATATGGGATGTCATCCTTCCCATTGACTAATATTTTTCAAGATGGTTAAAACCACCAACCAGATATCATCAGAGAAAGGCCAACCTTTTATGTCCTGCGAAGTATGATTTTGTTGAAAATGGTATCCAAGTTCCGTATTCGAAGGATCGCATCAGGGATTTTTTTTGGCATTGACAAAGCTATGATCATCCCTTCCCAGTAAATATCCCCCATCCGGGACCCAATTCATTAAAATAGATCCAATACTAAACGAGTGGGTCTTGGGTAGTAATATGAATGGAGGAAGTTATAAATGCCTAGTCATTTGGTCCTGGCTGGTAAAAATGAGAGTCCTAAAGTCATAAACACCTGGAGTTGACCAACGGACTGGTTGCGATGTCTTTCTTCCGGTGATCCTTGCTGCCTGTCACGTCACGCGTTTTCCCTGCAGGGCGATGCAAAGTCGTCGAACCTGCAATGTAATGAACTCTCGGTGAAGGGAGCTGTTCGGAACTGAGAATAAGATATACCAATTATATCAATCCATAAACCATTGGGAGTATTTCTTTATAGACAAGGGTTTCACCAACAACTTATGATATATAATGGCTTATCCAGCTCTCCATAGTTGTCCATTTTTCCTATTGAATGGCTAGCTGTTCGGAGCTACGAATTGAGTTTCCTAACCGCAGCTGATATGGGGCGACCGGGATCGCTGGTGTGGCAAAGCCAACGTCATAAACCATCCCGAAGGCACCACCATTTTTATGGGATTGCAACCATCCCCAAATCGTAGGTGTCTGAAAATTTGTTTTACTACATTAGGTATATTGTATGTCTTATTTATCCAATTACATTCCCATTGTTGTTGGTTAAAAGCCATGAATAGTGTTTTACCAAATTACATATTATGCCTTTGACGCGCTTCGCTTGACAAAAAACATGTGGCCAGCGGTCGAAAATGGATAAGATTGGATCAACCGGCTGGGTTTGAATTTGGATAGCTTCATATGTGGATGGGCTAGACATGACATGACATAAATAGAGGTTCAATGGGTTCCATGAGGTGGGATTGATGGAGCTAACTAAAGGTAAATGAGTGTAAATAATCGACATGATTTGAGGCTACGTGCAGTTAGTGAGTCGCTCACTCAAACATTCCAGTTGGAGGGATACGCATGTGTGAATGCATATGCAATCAACTTTGTGTAATGGTGCAACTTTGCCTAGACATGGTTTTCTGCTTGGAGGTTGCCTAAGATGAGTTTGCCCAGTTTGCTTCAAAGTCTCCCATATTGGGCAGATGTTGTGGTGTGAGCTATCTTCTAAAAGAGTTCGGAAGGGGTATACCCAATAGCCGTTCAGATACGGCCACTTCGAGCGTCATGGTCGGTGTGAATGCTGATCGGGTCTTGAAGTGAGTCTTGTCTGTGCGTTGCACAGGGTGGGGCAAAACACGCTCTGGTTCTTTGTTTTTGGATCCATTAGTTCATCGTCACATGTCATCAATTTTGCCCTGACCCATTGTTGTTCGTGATGGTTCATCCATGGCGAGATAAAACGAACCTGGACCGTGCCAGTACAGGGTGCATCACTTCAGCAAAACTCCTGACGGACTCTCCCTAAACTCACCACCTTTCCACATTTCCCAGCCGATCGGAGGAGAAAATTCTTGGTGATTTCCGAATGTTTCCACATGATTTTCCGTCCCAAAACTTGGTGTACTGCGTATCACAGGGTAGTGATACCCATTCATAGGAGGAAAGTGGCTTGACACAAGGTTTCAATGCTGGAAATTGCCTAGTGACAGTGGTGACAGTTGTGATTTTTTCCTGTACCTTGAAGCGCTGGCTCGAGCCGTTGGTCCTTTGCCTGTGCTGCAGTCTGAGCCTAAGCGGGCAGAAATCTGCAAGGATATTCCCGTGAGCTTCGTCCAAAAACAGGATGTAATACTTCAAACTACCGCTTCAATGGGAAAAATGATGATAAACTGTTGGGTTTGTAGGTACCCTATCTTCAAACAAGAATAAGGGTTGATGGTAGAATTTTTTTGTATTTCAGTGTATGTTCGTCGCAAAAAAGTTGTCCGTCCATGATGATCTCTGATGATCTCTTGTAATTGGGTAACCTATGCAGGGATTCTCATCTTTTGGATGTATCCCTACATTCATATCTGGACAGACCTGAACTGCAATAGATTCGCCTACAGCGAGTGTATGCGATGTCAGGATTTGTGACGTACCAGTTTTGTACAAAAAGTGTCAAAGTCGCAGAAAAAGTAACTTATGGTCATGACAACCATTTGTTCCTTCAAAACACATTGGTAAATTGCCCATATTACGGGATAGTCATCACTCCATTGACAGGGATTGATATGCCCATTACAAAGATTCCCTCATGGACCATATTTTACCATGGCACATGTGCTCAACACAAGAGTTTCTGACCACATCAAAGCTACGTGTTTTTCGCGATAATTCATCAGAGTGACCAACCTTCACGTTGATAAATAGGCCCCAAATAGACACAGAATGACATCAGGTGTCCTTCCATTTGGTTTTGATGTGTGTTTTCCCTTCTCCTCTAGTGACCCTACTTATCATTCATCAAAATACATCCTAATACCATATTTGGTGCGATCAGCATGCAGAACGAGCTGTGCTGTTTCATGTTCACCAGAGTCGTTGAGCCATCCCGGTAGTGCCGCAGTGCCCTAAGCACAAATTGGCAGATGATTACAGGGGTTAAACCACCTACTTGTTTTTGGGATTACTCGAATCCATTCTGGGACTTCCTACAAACCAGCCAGTATGGGATTTTATACTACCTTATACCATTGAAAGTCATTTATCAATATTTATCATATTGATCCCCACCAAGGATCACTCCAAGAAGTATACTACCCGAGGTGTGCCCTGGCTGATGCATGGACGTGACTTGCCGTCGGTGTCCTCAGTGGCGTTAAACGGGAATGGATGGGAATGATATGGGGAATATGATCCAATCAACAACTGTCCATAGCCATCCCATTTTACCCGATTTTGCCCCATTACGTTTCGCAGCCAAATTTTGGTGGTGACTGGAGGTGTTGCTTCTAATGATGTTCATAGCTACATCGGAACATCCATGAGCCAGGCTTATGGAAGAACTGCTGTCACTGTAGAATCTTCGACTTGTCGCTATAACATTGGCCCGAGAACATCAACCTTGGACAATCCTAATGGATGGGTCGCTGGCTCGTGCTGAATAGGTCGCTGGCAACTGTTGGGAGAATTTATGGCCAGTTCCTCCGAAATCTGCTGGCAGCAAGCGCAAAGTTTTCTGTAAAATTCTGGGCTGGGGGATGAACCTTAAGTATGCATAATTTTCCATCATGGAACACATCATATTCTCCATCATGTCATAGAAAACTGCCATCAAATGGAGAAAAACGATCTCCCATTCTGACAAACTGCCAATCGCGGACCATATCTATTGATTTTATCCCAACCATTAATATCCTGATTATATCCCATCATGTATTCCCATATGTTGTTGTTTATTAGTTTATGTATATACATACATACATACATATGTATATATATATATATTGTATATATATATATTGTATATATATATATCCATTTTGGGGTGGTAAATCCATCTATCATCTATCCCTTAGCGATATCTCCATGGTATCAGCGTCACTATCCATGAGTGCTGAGCCATAACCCCAGTATATCTCCAGTATATATCCAGTAATGTGGTAAACCCAATTAAAAACCAATTAATTGGGTCTGCCACATTGTATCCCCTAGCTTAGCCATAAAAGCCCACTAACCCCCATTAAATGTCATTAAATGTTCATTGAAGCCCATCAAAGTCAAGTAAATCCTAGTTGAATTCTCCACCATGAAATCCCCACATCCCTTTGAAATCTCCATGAAATCACAATTTCCCTAAGGCAGCCGCAGTAGAGACCGAAGCCGCAGCAAGTGCCGGAGCAGCGGTCGAAGCCTCCGGAGCCGGAGCGTCGCGTCCAGCAGTAGGCCTGGAGTTGAACGGGTCAAGCAACCATGGGTAGATTATATCTGGTGCTTAGTAGGGAATGAGGGAATGATCCATAATCACTAGTAATAATCACTAAGTCTAATTTGATTTACTGGAGAATATCTGGTTGGTGGTTTCAAACATGAATTTTATTTTCCATTTCATATCTGGGATGCATCCTTCTCATTGACGAACTCATGTTTTTAAAGATGGTTATTGCACCACCAACCAGATATGTTAGAGAGACCTTTCAGAATTTCTGTACTATTTGACGGCTGAAGATTCCTGTTGTATCTCCTTTTAAAATGAATCCAAAAATAAAATCAATAAAATAAATATTGTGTTTATTTATTTTATTTTAACTTTTTTTACAGCTTCTGCCAGAATAGTTAAAAAATATAAATGATATAAATATTTATTTTAATTATTTTATTACTTTCTGGCGGAAGCTTTGCAAAAATTGATAAATAGAATATATATGTATTTTATTTATTTATTATTTTTTTGAAGCTTCCGCCAGAATAAATAAAAGAAATATTTTGTTTATTAAATGTTCAAAGCTTCTGCCAGAAAAAAACAAATAAACAAAATAAATATTTATTTGCCCAGATTCTGTATCGCGAGCTGGTCCTCCATCACGCGAATGCTTCTTGCCAGAATTCATCGGGTCTTTTTTGCTTCTTGTGTCTTTCTCCATAAATCTCAACATTTTGCATGGTTTTTTTCTAGTCAGCAAGCAGCTGCAGGTGAAAAGCATCTGTGGCCGGCTACATTTACGTTGCGTCGAAGCTGGGAACGAGCTTGGGAATTTATTTCCAACCCACGCGCGGCACTAGCGGCCTAGTCTCGAGGATATATTTATGCCCAAGGCCGTCCAAGCACTTCAAGCCAGCATCGAGCTTACGCTGCGATCAGGTTCTGAATTCCTGTGTACTTCCATCGATGCAACTTTGAAAGTAGCCATGTCCATCAAGGGCGAAGCAAGCTACAGAAGCAGCCGCTCTATCCCAAACCAGGCCCTGCGGCGAGTTCTCACTGCCAGAGGTCGCACGGGGGCAGTCTTAGCAATGCAGCTAATCAAGGCGAAGACGCCTCGGAGTTGGCTCGTGGGCAGGTTCGGTATGTCATGAGCGATTCACCCTCTGTGAAGGTGCTGCAAGCTTTGAAAGCAGTGTTCCCAAATCTGTGCGGCATGGCTTTGGATCCTGTACGCCTGGCCATTGTCTATGAATACGCGCAATGGCGCAAACGCACGCCAAGCTCTAAACTTCTAAGGGACTTGCTTCAGAACGTGGTTCAGCATGACTCTGAAAAAGGCATGCTGTCATGGGGATCTATTTATGATGGTCGGGAGTCTGACCCTTTATCCCGCCAAGAGGAGACATGGAGCAATCAAATTTTAAGCGGGACACACACCCAGGCATATGCCCAGCGGATGATCAACAACCTAGATCTCAATTCGCCAGCGTAGACAGGCGTGAGCTTCATTGAAGCACTTGCAGCCATTTGCGTGCTTCACACAAAAAGAAACCGATCGCAAAGTCACGGGAATGAATAAACCCGTGCGCCATCTGTTGTGGACAGCTTGTTCACCATCGCGGTTGGAATGGTTGTTCAACAACCAAAGGGTAAGACACTCCTTGGCCCCACATGAGCGATGCCTTCTACCTTCTGGAACCACTTCCAGCGAGGCTCTCCGCAGTCAAATAAATTCGCGGACCCGCTCAACCCACGAAGTGCACCGGAGCACCTTGAAGTTGAAGCTGCAGGTTTAAACTTTGGGTAGGCAGCTTAGCCACCACTTAGCTTCATGCTTTCTAGCTGCGCGGCAAACGGCAGAGCGCAGGCTGGGTGAAAGCCCTTGGAGTGAAGAACTCTGGAAGAGATCATGCCTTTCTCGGGACGATCCTGCGCGGGCAGTCGCAACTTGGCTCTATTGGTTGCCATACTTGCATTGTGTCGTCTGTCATATATATAGCTGTCGGTTCTCTGTCACGAAGTGCAAGGTTCCCCTTCATCAGGAGCGACTCACTGAGAGCCACTGGGTCCGTCAATGGACATTAAAACGGCCACAGCCTCCTAGGCAGAAGCATGATAGAAAGCGCACGCCCCTGACTGTGCCAAGAAAGCACAGTGTGCGTAGCGGTGGTGTGAAACCTAACAAGTAGGCTTCTGATCTGGCAGCTCCTGCACACAGACAAAGAAACAAAACATGGCAGACTGCGCTTCCTTGTTCTGAACTTCGCGTGTTCCTGTCCATGCTGCTGAGATGATGACTCAATGCTTCCGTAGACGTTCAGGGTCAGTCCGTCGCAATGTCTGGCACTGAACTTTCCATAGTTCAATGGTGTGTCGATCTAAGTTTGGGCTTGATCATTCTTCTCCGTCTGACAATCCTGCCAACTAATGGGAATCTTTAATGTGCGTCCTTCAATTCACAATTATTCCAATTATACAAAGTACACTCAACATATACATATTATATATGTTGGTACTAAACAAACAAAGCTCCTCATATTCGAAGGAAGTTTAGAAGTCAAACTTCCGACAATATGGAGAGATGAAAAGCAGAGCAGGGAAGAGGCAGAGAGAAGAGAAAGATCAGAAGAGAAAAGAGTAGAAGAGAAAGAGTAAGAAGAAAGAAGATGGAGATGTGCGAAAAGGTAGGAAAGTCGCGAAACACTGTGTTTTCCAATGATTTGTGGCTCCGGAGGGTCGAAAAGTAGGCTCGCTAAAGCGGCGGGTGCGGAGCCAGCTGGCCAAAGGAGAGATGACAAATTGCACGCCGTTGTGGCGCGAAGCACATTTCGAAGTCAAAATGTACAAAACACACCATGGTCGGACCACTTTTGGAAGTTGCGATGTCGAAAAAGTGCACGCCGTTGTGGCGCGAAGCACATTTCGAAGTCAAAATGTACAAAACACACCATGGTCAGACCACTTTTGGAAGTTGCGATGTCGAAAAAGTGCACGCCGTTGTGGCGCGAAGCACATTTCGAAGTCAAGATGTACAAAACGCACCATTGTCGGACCACTTGTGGAAGTTGAGATGTCGAAAAAGTGCACGCCGTTGTGGCGCGAAGCACATTTCGAAGTGAAAATGTACAAAACACTACATGTTCGCGCCACTTTTGGAGGTTCAGATGTCGAAAAAGTGCACGCCATTGTGGCGCGAAGCACATTTCGAAGTGAACATGTACAAAACACTGGGGTTCGGACCACTTTTGGAGGTTCAGATGTCGCTTCGCCGCTTCGCTTCGCTACACTACACTACGTTACATTACACCACACTCCACTATACTACACTACATTACACTACACTACACAACACTACAACTACAACTACACAACTAGACTACACTCCACTACACTCCACTACATTAAATTTCACTACGCTACATTACACTACACTACGCTCCACTGCACTACACTACATTAAATTACACTACACTCCACTACACTACATTACACTACACTACGCTCCACAACACTACAACTACAACTACACAACTACACTCCACTACACTCCACTACACTAAATTACACTACAACTACCCTACACTACACTCCACTACACTACACTACATTACACTTTACTATCTTCTACACTTCACTACATTACACTACACTACACTACAACTACAACTACGACTACACAACTACACTCCACTACACGAAATTACACTACACTACACTACATTACACTACACTACACTACACTACATTCCACTACACTCCACTACACTACACTACATTACACTACACTACAATACACTGAATGACACTGCACCACAGATAGACAGGTAGACAGATAGACAGACAGACAGATAGATAGATAGATAGACAGGTAGACAGCTAGACAGATAGACAGATGAAAGAGAGATAGATAGATAGATAGACAGACAGATAGATAGATAGATAGGGTAATTAGATGAAAGAGAGAGAGAGAGAGATATAGATAGATCGATAGATAGATAGATACATAGAAAATAGATAGGTAGGTAGGTAGATAGTCAGAGAAAGGGATAGAAAGAGTGAGAGACATCAAGCACCTTTCAGTCCATCAGTGGCTTCGCTCTGCCATCCCTGATTCACAACAACCAACCTCTCCTATAGGTTTCCTATTTTTTCAAACTTCCGCCACCGCCTTGTGCGGTACTACTGGTACAAAATAAAAACAAGCGGCACCAAACTCTGCAAAGCAAAACGACATCTGACTTCCCTCGCGCATGGATTAATGTTTCCTTTTTCCGCATTCATTATTCGTTGAGATCGTTCTGAGACGAAAGGGGTTTATCGCACACCATTCTTTCACACAATGCCAATGATGCAACTTGTAAACAATGCATCTGTTGATGCTCCTTCGAAAACAATGGTCAGGTTCATCTGACCCATGTGGTCTGGGACCTGCAAAGTAAAAACCGCATCCCCTTAAGGGAGGTGGCACAACAGGTGAACAAGGTTAGGAGAGAGCGGGGTTTGGGTGGGTGGGAGCGAAAAATCTAAGCGCGCAACCGCACCCGTGCTGAACAGCCAAACTGCACACAAATAAATCAGTAATCTCACTGACAGGAACAGATAGACAAAACAAGTTAAGTTGTGATACAAACACATCAACCAAAACAGAATGTTGAGTAGAGGTTGAAAACAAAGTCAGTGTGCATCACATGCGCAGTGGCCATGCTATTCGCAAACCTGTTCACCTTCAGGACAGATACTCTGAAAGTATCAGCAAAACAAACAAATAAGAACCGGACAATTTGGTTTTGGTTGATTGACAGTTTGCCAGAAGACCACAAACAAGTTTAGAAGTAGAAACTTCCAGCTACAAGAAACATGAAGTCAAAACTTCCAGTTGTGAATGGAAACTCCCAGCATATCCAGGACGCAAGATAACGTCGTCATGCTACGCGTACAAAGGGGAGAGAACAATGACTTCGTAGTCAACAATGCGTGTATTACGCGAAACACACAAGCGCGTGGGAGAGGAGTAAGAAACAAGAGGAGCAACAAGAAACAAAAGAAGGACGTTGACACTGCACACCTAAAGATAGTGCTCTCAACTACGTTGAACGCCTCCATAACGGCGCTGCATGGCCAGGGGTGCTGTTTCTTTCAGTCATCGGGTTGAAAAATTGGTGTGATAAAGCCAAACTTCGCGATAGCGCTCACAAGGTTCTCCTGTGCGCTTTGTTTTTCGTGTGGCGCTAGAGATACATATATCGAATATGAATATGCAAGTACAGACACGCAGCGCACTCTTTGAGACTTTGAAGCGCTACCGCTGCGCAACAAAAGCATCACAACGACGCGTGATGCAGATGAATGCAGTTTGGGTTGCAACATACGAATGTGCGGTCACAAGCAAACAGGCTGTTCGAAACAGCCCTGCGTGTTGCAAGTGTGAGAGCATCCGGCATTGCATGGGTGTTGAAGAAGAAGTGTATGTCACAGGCCTTCGCTGCACTGCGCGGTTGTGCCATTATACGCATAAATAGCTTGTTGGCAACAGCACAGTGCATTGCAAGCGTGTGAGCGCATGGCATCACATAGATGTTGAAGAAGAACATGTACATCGCAGTTCTTGACTGCACTGCACAATTGTGCTCGTATATGCATAAATAGCTTGTTGGAAACAGCAGAGTGAATTGCAAATGTGTGTGAGCACATGGCATCACGAATGCTGTTCGAACTTCAAAATGTTGCAATTCCTGTTGACATGGCAGCTTTAGTTCCAAAATGCTGCAAATAGCAAGGAAGACTTACAGAATAGGAAATCAAAAACCAAAACCATAATAGAAAAACTAAAGCTACTTCCCCAAATCTATTCCGAACCCATTGTCACGTCAAGAGGTAAAGATACACAAACTTAAACATAAGGGTCTTCAGGTATAAATTTCCGCCTCTGAGGTTGTCATCGCCAAGTGCTTGATTGCCTTTTTGCGGATTGAGCCTTCTTTTGAGATGCGTTTTTTCCTCGAGATCCTGGATGTGCTGTTAGTTCTTTGTTTGCCAAATCGTGCCGCAGAGCTGGCCACATCCAGGCTATTTGACATGTAATCACACAGTTTGATAAACCTCTGGGGTCGCCTAGTTTGGAAAATTAAAGGACCGGATGACCCTATAAGGCAACTTCTTCCAATATATCATGAGCACCAAATTTTGTAACGGGGACGGGGAAGGAAGAAAAGACAAAGGAGGTGGTGGAGGATCGAGAAGTAAAACAAAGTTGTGTGTGTGTGACAAAGTTGTATGTGAAAGATGGTATGTGACAAAGAAAGATGGTGTGTGTGTGTAACAAAGTTGTGTGTGAAAGATGGTGTGTGTGTGTGTGAGAGTTGTGTGTGAAAGAAAGCGTATGACAAAGTTGTGTGTGAAAGATGGTTTTTGACAAAGTGGTGTGTGAAAGATGGTGTGTGGCAAAGTGATGTGTGACAAAGTGGTGGGTGACAAAGTGGTGTGTGAAAGATGTTGTGCGAGAGATGATGTGTGACAAAGTTGGGTGTGAAAGATGGTGTGTGAAAGGTGGGGTGTGAAAGATGGTGTGTGACAAAGATGGTGTGTGACAAAGTGGTTTGTCAAAGATGGTGTGTGACAAAGTTGTGTGTAAAAGATGGTGTGTCAAAGATGGTGTGGGACAAAGTGGTGTGTGAAAGATGGTGTGTGACAAAGTGGTGTGAAAGATGGTGTGTCAAAGATGGTGGGTGACAAAGTGGTGTGTGACAAAGTGGTGTGAAAGATGGTGTGTCAAAGATGGTGTGTCAAAGATGGTGGGTGACAAAGTGGTGTGAAAGATGGTGTGTCAAATATGGTGGGTGACAAAGTGGTGTGTGAAAGATGGTGGGTGACAAAGTGGTGTGAAAGCTGATGTGTCAAAGATGGTGGGTGACAAAGTCGTGTGAAAGATGGTGTGTCAAATATGGTGGGTGACAAAGTGGTGTGTGAAAGATGGTGTGTGAACCGGCGTCTAAAAGGCGCCCAAGCGCGCCACCAGAGCCAGCCCAGTGCCATAAGTGCCACCCCTGTCACGCAAAACAAAGGTGGATGTTAACAAGTGCCACACCTGCCACGCGAAACGAAGGTGGATGTCACCAAGTGCCACGCCTGCCGCGCAAAGTGCCGCGGCCTCACCGGCGACTAAAGCGCGCCCAAGCACGCCACCAGAGCCAGCCCAGTGCCATAAGCGCCACCCCTGTCACACAAAACGAAGGTGGATGTCACCAATTGCCACACTTGCCACACGAAACGAAGGTGGATGTCAACAAGTGTCACGCCTGCCACGCGAAATGAAGGTGGATGTCACCAAGTGCCACGCCTGCCACGCAAAGTGCCGCGGCGTCACCGGCGACTAAAATTCGCCCAAGCGCGCCACCAGAGCCAGCCCAGTGCCATAAGCGCCATGCCTGTCACACAAAACGAAGGTGGATGTCGCCAATTGCCACACCTGCCACACGAAACGAAGGTGGATGTCACAAAGTGCCACACTTGCCACGCGAAACAAAGGTGGATGTCACCCACGCCTGCCACGCAAAGTGCCGCAGCGTCACCGGCGACTAAAACGCGCCCAAGCGCGCCACCAGAGCCAGCCCAGTGCCATAAGTGCCACACCTGTCACGCAAAACGAAGGTGGATGTCACCAAGTGCCACGCCTGCCACGCCAAGCGAAAGTGGATGTCGCTACAAGTGCCACGCCTGCCACGCCAAACGCAGGTAGATGTCTCCAAGCGCCACGCCTGCCACACAAAACGTGAACCAAGTGCCACGCCTGCCACGCCAAACGCAGGTAGATGACAAAGTGGTGTGTCAAAGATGGTGTGTGATAGAGTTGTGTGTGAAAGATGGTGTGTGAAAGATGGTGTGTGACAAAGTGGTGTGTGAAAGATGGTGTGTGACAAAGTGGTGTGTCAAAGACGGTGTGTGAGAGATGGTGTGTGACAAAGTGGTGTGTCAATGGTGGTGTGTGATAAAGTTGTGTGTGAAAGATGGTGTTGACAAAGTTGTGTGTGTGAAAGATGGTGTGTGACAAAGTGGTGTGTAAAAGATGGTGTGTGATAAAGTTGTGTGTGAAAGATGGTGTGTCAAAGATGGTGGGTGACAAAGTGGTTCTCGAAAGATGGTGTGTGACAAAGTGGTGTGTCAATGGTGGTGGGTGACAAAGTGGTGTGAAAGATGGTGTGTCAAATATGGTGGGTGACAAAGTGGTGTGTGAAAGATGGTGGGTGACAAAGTGGTGTGAAAGCTGATGTGTCAAAGATGGTGGGTGACAAAGTCGTGTGAAAGATGGTGTGTCAAAGATGGTGGGTGACAAAGTTGTGTGTGAAAGATGGTTGGTGACAAAGTGGTGTGTGGGCGAGGCGGGCGAGCGAGGCGGGCGAGGCGGCGGGATACAGAATCAAAAACAAGAACCCCACACAAAGATGTGGGGAAAAACACCGATACTCAACCATTTTCTACCTGGACTTTGATATTATCGGACATACCTTGGGTTCTAAAGACGTAAAATGCCGGCAAAAGTGTTGGTTGTACTTGCCTTATGTTGTTTCCCTTATTTCTGCAACTACTGGCGTCATCATTTTGCCACACTTACCGTAGATCTTACAATGGTGCGAATGTTGGCCTTGGAAAAATGCCCAGGGTTGCTGCAGGTGCAAGTGTGGATTCAGAACCCCGTCATTCTATACATGAAGGTCCCCTCCATATATATTTTCTATTTATATTTATATATATATATATTATCCATGTACGTATATCCAGTTATATATTATAAGTTAGATGTTCCCCTATTATATACGTCCATATACGCAACTAAAATGTATGTATATACACTAAAACGGTTGGAAGGCAAGGCGGCTAAATCCTGAAAAAATAAACGTAAAAGGTAAACGCGATACAGCCGTGAAAAGGCAAAAATGGTTTAACTGCTAAGCATTTCATCGGTCGGACAGTTCGACGGTAAAGCGGCCAACGCTCAAATGGTTAAGCGGTAAGACGGTTTATCCGTTGAACGTTAAAACCCGTGAAACGGCAAAGCGATGGAACGGTAAAAGGGTGCAACAAATAAGCCTTTCAACATGTTTCAACAGCTCAAACCTTAAAACAAGTCAATGGTTCAAGAAGAAAACAGCTAAATGGTTCAACAACAGACGCTACAGTAAAACGCTTAAACTTTTCGAGACTAAAAACACTCAAATTGGTGAAGCGGTGAGAATGCTTCAGCTGGATTCCCTGGTGAAATCATCTTCAACCCGTTGAACCCTTATGTTTCGATCTCTTTGGTGCAGCATTTCTCATGGCCTAAATGAGCCCAGCATCGCTAGGTCCCGGCGCCACGGCCACGGCCGGCGGCGACGCGAAGCACGCGACGCGTCGCACACGTCGCCGGCGTCGTCCTCTGCCAGGCGATTTCTTCGAGGGCTCGGAAATTCACGAATTAGATAAGGGTAGATTAATGAGATAATAATAGGATATCTAATGGGGCAATAATGGGATGTCTAATGGGATAATCATTGGATAATAGTGGGATAATAATAGGTTATCTAATGGGATAATAGTGGGATAAGAATAGGTTATCTAATGGGATAATGTTGGGATAATAATGGGATAATAATGGGTTTTTAACGTTTACTTAATGCTTATGAATGATTATTGGTGAGATATTAGATGAATATCACATCCTCCTAACAGTAAACAGCCCCATTCCATGGTCCCAATTACGCGGAAATCCCATACATCCACCATGGTTTGTGGGTGGTGTTTAGTACAAGGTGAAGAGATTAGTCATGTTCCCATTATTTTCCCATTATTATCAAAGGAAGTTTCATGGAGGAAACTCCGAGTTACAGACTTTCACATTCTCACTAGCCCAACCATCATTGTGTCCAGTTGGCACCTGCGTTAAGAAATCATGAAGCCACATTTTCGCCAGCCCAAAGATCATTGTGTACAGTTGGCACCTGCGTTAAGAGATCATGAAGTCACATTCTCACTTGCCCAAACACCTGCGTTAAGAAATCATGAAGTCACATTCTCACTAGCTAAAAGATCATTGTCCAGTTGGCACCTGCGCAGAAGTCGAGTGGAGGTAGACTAAAGGTAGAGTAGAGTAGAGTAAAGCTGTGTAGAGTAGAGATGAGTAGAATAGAGAAGAGTAGAGCATAGCAGAGTAGAGAAGAGGAGAGATGAGTAGAGGAGAGGAGAGGAGAGCAGAGAGTAGAGTAGAGAGTAGACTAGAGTAGAGTAGAGAGTAGACTAGAGTAGACTAGAGTAGACTAGAGTAGACTAGAGTAGACTAGAGTAGACTAGGGCAGGCTAGAGTAGACTAGAGTAGACTAGAGTAGACTAGAGTAGACTAGGGTAGGCTAGAGTAGACTAGAGTAGACTAGAGTAGACTAGAGTAGACTTGAGTAGACTAGGGTAGACTAGAGTAGAGAGTAGAGAAAAGCTGTGTAGAGTAGAGAAAAGCTGTGTAGAGTAGAGAAGCGTAGAGTAGAGAAGAGTAGAGTATAGCAGAGTAGCAAAGAGAAGAGCAGAGATGAGTAGAGACGAGTAGAGCAGAGATGAGTAGAGCAGAGCAAAGTAGAGTAGAAGTAGAAGTAGAGCAGAGTAAAGCTGCGTAGAGTAGAGAAGACGAGAGATCAGTAGAGTAGACTAGAGCAGAGTTGCGTAGATCAGAGTAGGGTAGAGGACAGCAGAGTAGAGGTGAGTAGAAGTGGAGTAGAGGCACAGGTAGAGGTAGCAGTAGAGTAGAAGTTGAGTAAGGGTAGAGGTTGAGTAGAGTAGAGTCGAGAAAAGTAGAGTAGGGAAGAGAACAGTAGAGCAGAGAGGTTACGATTCTGATTATGGTTTGCAAGTCATATTCGGTAGATCGCATTGGAACTGCTGCATCAATGCTGCATTTTGAATGTTAGGATTTGCACGAAACATTGTGCTTTTTCGGGTAAACGGAGGTTTCGTTGCAGAGAAAACTTGGCTCGCGTGCGCGACAGGTTTAGGCGTCGTCGCTTTGCCGCCGAATCCGGCTCAATTTGCGCGCGCAATGTAACTGAGGGTTTCAGGTGACTTTTTCTCTTCTTTGTTGATGCTATGCTTTTGTGTTTTGCATGTCAATCTGTGCAGATCGGAGTGGAATGGATGCGTCAAAGCTTCTCGAAGGGTACTTGCGATTCTGTTTGTGTTTTGCAAGTCATGCTTGGCAGATCGCATTGGAACTGCTACATCATGGATGCGATTTGAATGTTAGGATTTGCACGAAACATTGTGCTTTTTCGGGTAAACGGAGGTTTCGTTGCAGAAAAGTTGGCTCGCGTGCGCGACGGGCTTAGGCGTCGTCGCTTTGCCGAATCCGGCTCGATTTGCGCGCGCAGTGTGACTGAGGGTTCCAGGTGACTTTTTCTCTTCTTTGCTGGTGCTGTGCCCTTGTGTTTCGCAATGGAGTCTGTGCAGATCGCAGTGGAATGGTTGCGTCAAGGTTCCTCACTGCTGCAGCTGTGTGCGAAATATTTTTGTCTTCTGCAGCTGAGATTCATAAATCGTACTGTAGTGGCTGCATGAAGGTTGCGAATTCGGATGCGGCAGCAGATTTTCATGCAGATTGGCGCTGATGATGTTGAGCGGGGAGCGTGCAGCTGTGCTGCTCAAGCACATGTTGCCATGTTTAAGTGGCATGTTTGTTTTCTAAACCTGCATAGACATGACCTGGCTGTCAGTTCTTCAGCGGGGAGCGTGCAGCTGTGCTGCTCACGCTCATGTTGGCATGTTTAAACGGCATGATCAGTAGAAACCTGCAAAGTTGAAACAGTGATGGTGTAGCAGCGAATGATAAGACGATCGAAGAAGATGTCAGAGACGGACGGATAGCTGCACCGAAGGTAAAGTTTCCTTGAAATAAGACGAACGCAACTTGAACGAGTCAAACGAATCGAGCGACTGGAAAAACAGCTGAACAAGTTTCCACTTGTGTCACTTTAACCGGGCTGGGAAAAAATAGGCGAGCAGAATTGAGGTGAGGTGAGTCGAGATGAGCTGAGAAGAGTTGAGAAGAGGGAAGAGACGTGAAAAGAGAGTTGAGGAGAGTCAAGAAGAGCTGGACAGAGATGAGGGTCGTTGAAAAAAGCTGACAAGAAGTGAGAAGCCCTTAGAAGAGTTGAGAAGCTGTGAGAATCCGCTGCATCTCCTGTAGGCAAACCTAGTCTTTGGATCCTATAGTGTCAAAGTCCTTAACCTTGGAAACTTCCGCCACCCGCCTTGCGCGGGATTTACTTGTTCCATTACCAGTCTCACCCCATATCAAATTGGTTTTATGCACGTAAAGCATCATCCGGCGGTCGCAAAACCCCGCACTCTAGCCATGGGGTGTACATCAACCATTTGGGGGATACAACCAACAGGACAGTGAAAGAGGATACAATGCACAGACTGTAGCCAGCAAAAACATTACTTGGGCCATTTTTGCGGGTTTGGGAGTGATAGCTAGAACCAATACTGAGGATACAACTGGGAGCTGAGCGCGCCTCTAATGTGAAAGGTAGATAAATCATTGATGTTTGGGTACATGTCCAAAGATATTCCAATCATCCCAACCTGAGAACAGTATCCAATGACTACATGGTTGAGATCAAATTGGCCATGGGTCTACACCAGGAAAGAGAACATAAAAAACCATGAATTGGCGACTCTTTAGTATATGATGAGGCGTCTCCTGATCTAGGGGGCTATGTTCATTCCCATTCGAAAATTATCCTAGGGCTCGAAAAAAACCATAGAAAATGATACAAAATCTGCATGTCATGGTGAGATGGTGAGATGTTCATGATTTTTGTTGCAGGTCTCACCGAGATCGCCGACGCCATCGACGCGCCTGGGACAATGGAAAGCCCAGCATGATGGTTAGATGTTAGTAGAGGAAACCATCCCAAGAACTCATTTACCTTATTTCATGATTATACCAATGCAGTGAGGACTATCACAATCCATGCGGGAATCCCGTTATCAGGTTGGGTTCGTTGATTGCCATGTGAAATGACTACTGGATATTCATCAAGCCTGGTACCCGAACATCACCAATTTCTCTTTTCGACTTCCATGATGCCACTATGATGATGTTTGGAGGCTGGGTGAAAACAATGATACCATTTTGATTTTGGACTGGGGAATGAAGATCCATTAATCCCCATATTTTGATGTTAGGGTACCAATGTCTTGATCCATCCATGGGTTCTGCCTGATACCTCCATAATTTAAGACCTGCAAAACCACAGGTCTTAGTGAATGTTTAGTATTTTTGACCCATACTCAAATCTGAGCAGCAGCTGTTGCAAATAAATCAAACAATTATGCAATTTCAATGGAATTCATGGATAGTTCCATACACGTATGTATATCTATATATATATATATAGAGAGAGAGAGATATATATATATATATAAGCCATGAATTGATGGATAGTGGTAGCTGGTAGTTCTCAGCTCATCTGAACCAACGGGTCGTTTTTCCCATCCCGAGGCTACCGCAGGCCGCGTCGCGCCCGGCGCGTGAGCTCGGCGCGGCGCTCCGAACGTGCCGGACCTTCGGCCCGGCGAAGGTGCGGGGTGGAAGATGAATTTCCAATGGTGATTTAATGGCGATTCAATGGGATTTCATGGTGGTTTAATGGGGTCTCATGGTTTAAACATGGGTAAACTTCCGGCGCAGCTCAAGAGGCACTGTTCTCCCTCACTGGAATGATGCCGATTGGACTAATTGGATTCAGGGAATCCCCAAATAGATATGATACCCTCTGGTAAATTGTTACATAACCATGGAAAGATCCACCACTTTTAATGGGTAAATCAGCCTATAAATGGTCATTTTCAATAGCTATGTTAGTTTACCAGAGTGTTATGTCGGTTATGTTAACCACGAATTCACCATCAAATAATGTTAGTAAATAATCAATGGATTATCAACAATATGCATGGTTACATCAATTTTGAGATGAGCTAATGACTTGCTGGGGACTTAACGGATTTAGCCATGGGGATATATAGGGATTGTTCAGCATCATATGGGAATTCCATCCATAGGGATTGTTCAGCATCAACCAACAAGCATTATTTTATCAAGCATGTGATGGAATTGATTGGGATTGTTGAGCATCAGAATTTGAATCAAACATATGGGAAAATCGTTGAAACATAGCCTGCTTAACGGGGTTTTACTCGGATCTGACCCTCAATCTGTGGGGGTTAATTGTGGTGGTTGAACTATCAAACATGTGGGGATATTGACAAATGTGGATGGGTCGGTCATATGGGATTAAAGCACAAAAGATGATTTTTCCGTGAAAAAAAGAACATTCACAAAGATGTTTAACTTTGTTTAACCATTATCGATATGCAGTTTTTCAAACATGTGGACATCATTGATGATGGCTGATCGTTGGTTGTCCGGAGGTGTACCTGTCTGATTTGGGGACTATTGTAGCCCATAGGGAGACCTATTTTCATCAACCTTTATGATGGGATGGCATTTTTAGTCGCTTTTGTTGGGAAGAGGTCCAAAGGATTGGAGCATGAAAAAAAAGATGGTGATGTTACTTGACTTTAGTGGACCAGTGGAATTTCCAGATCATCAACAGTTGTTTTTGAATGGTTTATAACACTGGGATATGACATCCTCTAATCCTTGATGGTAACCTCAGCATCCTTTCCAAACAGGAGTCGACGATCCAATTCATGGAGGCCCGACTTCCTTGGTCCGATCGAATCTGTTTGGGAATATGAAGTGGAAATATATTGGGAAAATGCTAAATTGGTATTTATGGCAAGTTTATGGTGATGTCTTGAACTTTCAGATCTCCAAAATTTCGGAATGGTCCACTTAAAATTCATGTTCCAGTGGATCTATTGCAGTACTTATATGAACTTGGGTTATGTAGAACCTAAATGAGCAGAGATATGCGTCCAATGAAGGTCGTGAGAATTTGTGTGGTATCCCACTGCAGTGGAACAGGAGGGGTCACCTTGTTGCCACGTTGTAACTTGCTTGGGACCTTGGAAGAACGAGATAGAGCAGGTACGTAACGGATTTCACTTGACCTATTGGCTATTACCATGTATATACCATGCAGACATGACAGAACATTTATAGTATTTGCATCCCCTAATTGCACACCCTAACAAGAACCTCGATAAAATGACTAGATGTAGTGGAGTTTCTGGAGGCGTCTTTTTTTCTTAATAGGGCGAACGGATGAACTAATATTGTAAAAGCGTATCAAACTTTGGATCAACTATGATCAATCATATCAAAGGATCAAGCATGATTAACCATATTATGTTTCCGAATCATAATATGATATGCATGTTTATGCACAACATACATTGGTATACATATTATATAATCATACATATATATCTATATACATATTACACCTGATTTTATATGTATATATATATTGAACCTTGCTTCATCAAAAACGAAATCAGGAGCCTCCAAATCACCAGGCCACGCTTTGCATCAACGTCTCCCTCCTTTGCAGCACATGCAGCGCTGGACCCAACGCTACGACTGCCCTGTGGGCTAACCTCGGTTGAGGCCCCAAGGGGAATCCCAAGTTATGTCCCGACTTTTCGGGGGAGTTATGAAATGATTTAGCCAGAAATTGAAACTTATTGAAATATATATATATATATGTATGTATGTATGTATATATATATATATGTATGTATGTGTATATATATACATATGTATGTGTTTATATATACATACATTTATATATTTACATATATATATATACATATGTATGTATGTATATATATATATATATATGTATATGTGATCATAAACGTAGATGTAAATATTTTGTGAGATGATTAAGTGAGTAAGCAACAAAATTGTTATGTGAAGCCAACCAATGATGGGGATATGGCCATGTCATGGCTCCGTTTAAGGGTATATCATTGCCGGGTTTTTGTGCCGGTATTTCATTGTATGTGTGCATATGTGTATATATATAATATATATATATATATATATACGTATCATTGATGGGATGTAGTTGGTATAAAACCAACTCGCATGCAGATGTAAGGGAGAGATAGTGGGTTTTACTGAAAAATAACCATGGCAACCCGAAATCGGATACCAGTGGAGCCACTACAGTAGTCAAGTTTCATAGCTATCCATCCCAGAATTGGGTGCAACAACCAAAAGAAATGGTGGGTTCACCACAATTTGGGATAGGCACCCTAACAAAGTGGTTAGGTGAACCACCAAAAACAAGCACATGATTCAGAAAATTGAAAGGATGGTTGGTTAATATGAGGAAATGTATTCTAAGATGAGAGACCCAAAAGAAAACGCATGGAGATGGCTCAGAATTTGGGGGAGCCTGGCCGCAGAAGCGCTAGGAATTCTGTAGGAATCATGGTTCAGTGATGTTTCACGCAGTTCAACAAGGTTTGAAATGTTGTGGCTGCCGGATTTCAAGAGATTCCAGGTGGTCATAAGCTGACCTTGGGAAATTGTGCTTGTCATTGACTCATAATATGGTGACTGAAAATTGGGTACCCGCTTCCATCCAATGCTTAATCATCCTTTTCCTTATTGAACTGGCAATGTTCCAGGGCGTACTCCATTTTCCAACACACCAAAAAATCATATTATTGGTATATATCCCCATTGTATCGCAATTCTGTGTTTCACATGTATCTACATCCAGAATATAATTGTTCCTGGGTTATATCGGAATTCTGTTCCCAACATCACCATGAAATATCCCCGATATGTCCAATTTTTGGACACCAGCCATTGCATATTGCAGCAATTCACCACTATGGATGGCGGATGTTTTTTCTAATGGGTGCACTGCACACTCTGACAAAGAGATCAGGATGAAATGGTTCTGCTTTTCTCCACTCTCTCATGTCAAGCTTAGGTGCACATGATACATGCATGCATGCATACGGACATACGTTCATACGTACGTACAGGCATCCATGCATACATGCATACATACAGACATACATACATATTTACGTACGTACATACATACATTACATTCCATTTCATTCCATTCCATTGCATTCTATTGCATTACATTACATTACACTACATTACATTACATTACATTACAATACATACATATGTTACATACATACATACATACATACACACATACACACATTATATATAAATGATGATCATTCAAATATGTGTGTATATATATATATACATTTGGTAAACCTGGAGTAGATAGACTATGGAAAATCACCCAAAAAGTCTCTCCTTGAAAATCTCATGACTCACCGGCAGGTGCTCGACCTATTGTCTCGTGAGATCACGTTTGACTCCTTAGTTTTTTCAGAAACCATGGTGGATTTGGTGGATTTAAGCCACGATTTTATGGGAATGTGGGAATTATAATGGTTTTATGGGATACAATCGGAATATCATGGATATTTTTGATGGGATATACAACAATCATGTTTGATATTTGGGATAATCAAAGATGGTTGGTAAATTCCCAACTGAACGGGAATTTGTAATTAGATTTGTGTCGAAAAAAATGGTGGATGTTCAATTGCCATGTTTGATTACAGATGGGGAGATAGCCAGCCACTTAGAGATGGGATATCGTGGGAGTCTGATACCATCGAAAATGGCAACTTGAATGGTGAAAATGATGTCCAACCGTCGGATTTGAGGGTATATCATACGTGGTGGATGTTTACCCACCACTACCCTCTGGTAAACTAACAGTTTGCTACTGAAAATTGTCATTTATAGTTGATTTACCCATTAAAAATGACGATTTTCCATAGTTATGTTAGTTTACCAGAGGGCAAATGGCATTTGAATGATATAACCAACCAAATACGAGGATATGAGGAGATATAATGCCACGCTTTCAGCAATATGTCTGGGTGTGCCTTTTATGTGAGTGGACAATACTGCAATTTTATGGCAATGCTCATGTGGAAAATGATGACCAGTGGACTTGACTCAGTTTTTTCGGGGATGGCGCAGAAAGTCCAGGCCCAGAAGATGGAAGGATATAAAAATGGTTAGTAAAGGTAACTATCCCAAAATGGCCTTATTTCAAGATATATTTGGAATTATATCCATCCAGATATAAAGTAAAAGGTCCTCAGGCTTTGAGCTCTCTACATTTCCAGTCGATCATGTTTTCCACACGCACCCGGCACGTGGTTCGATTAGTTTGCCCCAAAAATGTTCAAAATGGTGTCGTTCTGTTGGACAGAAACGGTGGCGGCTCAGGCATGCATAAAATAGTATATGATATTTGTACTTGTATATATTACATATAATTGGTATCTACATACACATATACATATATATATACCATACATATGTACATATATATACACATATATATACATATACATATACATATATATATATATACATATACATATATATATATGTAAAAAATATAAAAATAAAATAGGTCTGTCCAAATGATCATATGTATAATTGCCGGGCTCAGGCCCGACGACTACGAGCTCCTCTTGCGTCTCGACAAGGTGGAACGGATTTGGGGAAATTTGTGATTTGTTCAGCAGAAATTCAGGATTTCACGGGGTTTCATAGTGAATATCATGAGGATATGTTGGCCAATACAGGGCATAGATGTTGGTCCCGTTTCGGGTAGATCATTACATGTGGCTACTTTCCGAAATATGCCAAAAAAATCTGAGAAAAACATGATGACTCATGATGTAGATCAGATTTTCTGAGATTTTACTGGGATTCATCCAAGATTCATCCAATTTGATCCAATGGAAAATGTTTCCGGCCAGGCCGTGGGGCAACCAGTGGCCAGCACGGAAACGGTGGAGGTGACCCGGTCAGCGCCACCAAACTTGGGGATTGCGGCGTTTTTTGTCTCATAGAATCCGAAAAAGATGGAAGGTTCATAGGTTCGGCGGGCAAAAGAAAAATCGGATTGTTTTGCTAAAGATACAAAGTCTTAAGTGGTATTTAAAAAATGGTTGATCTCCAATTGCAGGCACTCCCGAGCGTCGCACCCGAGGAGTTCAAAGGCGGGTTAGGGTTAGGAATGGTTTGTTGGGACCACATTCTGGTAAACCAAATCATAGACCCATCAGGGGAATCCCATTTTTTGTAATATTGAGGATGGTTTATGGCATTGGATTTACCATAAGACTGTGGTTCAAAAAAAGAAATCGACTCATGGCCGGTTCATTGATTCTGTTCAAATGTTTCGATCATGGTCTCAGAGGACTTCACTTTTTCGGGGGCTACAACCACCAACCAACAGTGGAGCATCACTGTCCAACTGCGCCAGATTGCTATTGTTTTTCCGGTGACTAGGAACAAAACACATTCCCACTGGATTGGGGTTTTCAACCTTTTCTAATTATAAGGTTTGGTGTCCTTAAAGGCATGGACCATATTCGACCTGTAGAATTTAGCCGGCACCAACCAGTTCCCTTTTGGTGATGGCACCATTGTTTGATCTTCAGACATCGAAGAAGCAGAATGCACTGGATTCGCAACTGTTATCGGTATATGTTGTTTGCGGCTAAGTGTTATGAAAGTTTCATGAAAGTCTTGTTGTGCCTCCCATTTGTTGGATCTAGTATCCCTCAGATTTGCAAGTATCGCAGGTCAAAATTGCTCGATTTGCCTGGCGCCTTTTGAGGCGCATTTCTGTGGGGGGTGAAAGGAGGAGAGTCGGGATCAACCGAAACATCGAGAAAAAAAGACCATTAAAAGCTATTCTGTTTTAAAAATATAACAATAGTACACAACATGTAACAACCATTTGTTGCATCCATTTCTGAATACCAAAATCCACCAAGAAGGTGCTTCCATGGGGATGGTCTGAATGTTGGTGGTATGGATGGTTCAACGGTGAAACCATGGCACCATGGCACCGACATGGCCCTTGTGGTGCCAGGATGACAGCGAGGTTGCAGCTATGCAATGCAAACATCAATTTCATCGCAGCTGCATCTCCAGGCAAATTCAGGGCTTCCTGTGTCATGGAGGTACAACATGGGATCTGTACCCAAAATCGCATGTTTTTCACAAACAAAAGGGGATGTATAACCAGCACAAATGCCACATAGACCCACCTTATACCAAGTCCTCATAGGTAAACATGTAAGCCTGCCAATTGGACCTTTCCCCACACTCCTGAGTCACACTTGTTCACTATTTTCGGATATCCAGTGTTTGTCAAATTCGAATAAACAAAAAGCGCCAAGTGCATCCAAGCGCAATCTGTAAGACTTCAAGGCTTCCCAAACTTGTGGGAGAGTCTGCGGAATCTAGCTTCACTTCCCGGCTTTGAAATCCTTAGTCTGGTCTTGAACATTGGGCAATTCGACCTCCAGGTACGACTTGTGCATCCCAGTTGGCAAGTGGGTAACAACGTAACGACCGTATGAAAAAAACCCTTGGTCTAGCTACAAATTATGCCGAAAAGAACCCTATCTAACTCAATAAACAATCAGGACCTATCCTACTTGCAAGTGGATGATAACCCTCGGTTTGTCTCCGGGAACAAGCCGCCGCCAGGTGGCTCTCAGAATGTCGGAAGACGTGCCCCCTCTGTGGAAAGGATGCCTCTTGATACGCGACGAGGAGTTTCACGGAGGCCCGTGGGCAGCCAGGTGAGGCGGGAGTTCCGTGGCGAATTAAGATTGGATTAGTGTTAGTAAAGCAACAGTAAACCATCCCCAAATTTAATCATACATGGGTGGTATAAACTATCAAGATATGGGTGGTTTATGATTGCTTTACTGACATTTTAATGGATCTTGTAAATGGATGGAGAACTGGTTCATGTCTCAGAAAATCCTTTCTGGGAGTTTCCCTGCAATTGTCAATAGTGTTGAACAATAGGTTCATGCTACTGCTTCACCTTTGTTTACATAATTAAAATCAAAGGGGAAATAACTGCTTTTTCTGGGGGAGAATGTCTGGGACCTGTCTCATGTGGGCTCAGCAGGTCGGCTGTGCGGCATGCTGAGCAATCTCCAGCGAACGAACAGGTAGCTTTGCTGGAGGCACGTCCTAAGCATAGGCACCCCAAGGTCAAAGAGCCGGAGTTAGGAAGAAAAGGTGTAGCCCATAGATCATATATAGCCATAGATGATAGGATAGAGTTTAGGATATGGACAACCACTAGACTTTTAGTTTAGGATATTTTGGAATCACTGACATAATCTAGCTCCGTCTGGACCTAAACCAAGAATTAGACACTGCGACATGCCGCAGCATAAGGTCCAGATAATACTCTAGGTCAATAATCTTAAGGTAAACTTTAAAGGACTCCGGTCAGGTATTACAAATTACATTAAAATTTCTATATGATCTATAGATTCATAGTTCTTTAAACCATATCTACATTACTAAGACACAACACAGCGAGGCTAACAGCTTCCGTCGCTGAAGCATCGGTTCTTGGGCCCTGGCGCAGGTTTCTTGCGTGCATGTGCACCACTCAATGTCCTGGCTTGCGCTTTGCTCAGATCGGACCAGTGGTGGGACCGGAAGGACCGGGAAACGGACCGAAAGAATGGTGTGCTACAATAGATATAGATGTAGATATAGATATTATGATATTATGATATTATGATACTGCTCATGATGATGATGATGATGATGATGATGATGATTCATATTCCAGCAGAATTCCCCGGAAGATGGGTTACCCAAACTCAAGATGCCCAAAATTGCCCTCCAAACACCTCCAGGCGTCCTTTTTTTGAACTCATCCCTAGGTGCAGAGCAGGATCAGCCAGATGCTGGGTTGCAGGTGCTATGGGTCGACTCCATGGGTCCAGAAATCTTCATCCATAGCCTTCATTGGGAATGTGTAGCTTAGATTGGGATCCTCATGTCCATTGTTTCCACGTTGTTTCCATTGGTAAGATGATGTAAGATGATGTAAGATGATGTAAGATGCCCGAATTGGTTCAATCTCAGACCAGGGACTTTGTCTTGGACTTAATCTTTTGGGTGCTGGGATGGGAGTGATGACAGAACGATGAGTTGGGTGGTTTTGGGAGGTCACCGAAGTCCCGTGAGTCCAAAAAAGATAACAATGCCGGGAGCACAGCGGTTGATCCCATGGTTGCCATCATCCCATGGCGCATTCGACAGGTACGAATCGCTACCAAACGAGCTGTTGACCCATGGCCAGAGTCTCAATCATTATCCCAGAATCCCATGAACTTTGGGATATTTGGAGGTGCCAAATGGTCAACATTGGTGTGTCTTTTCATGAACCTCAAAATGGCAGATTTAATTCACCTAGCTGTGTATGCAACCCAAGGAAGACTTCCAGCGTTCCAGGGTTAAGCAGTTTTGAGTGCCTTGCACCATGCATTGGTGAATCACCCGCTTTTGGAAGAACCCATATGTAAATCTACATCCCAAGATATAAGGTATATAAGTATTAGAAGAAATGTGATTTCAGGTATATAGTAACTCCCACAAAAAAAATAGAAAAGGCATCCATCAGTATGTTAGATATGTTTAGATTAGGATCACCAAGTCTACATCTGGTTTTTTGTTACAAGATCTGACTCCTGCTATCTGTTTGTGATACAAGGAGCTGGCGAGGCTGCCCCCGGTTATGGCCATCAAATGGGGATAATTAGTGATTAATCCACTGGATGGAGGACCTGCAAGATGTGGGGTAGTTATTCGCCTATCAATTCACCCATAACACTCATTGATTCCTTCTGAAAATGAGTCGTTTCCGGTGAGAATGAGTTGCTCCGCTGAGGCATTTGGGAATACGAAAATTCATTGCAGGTTTTGAAGTTGACTTTGAGTACCGCCCTACCAATTTAGAGTGGCCAGGCCAGATACCACACACGCACACACACAGGGTCCAATGGCAAACGGTTGAGTTCCTGCAAGCATTCAGATGCTTTCTACTTCACACCCCTAAATCTGGCGCAGAGCACTATGAAGAAGCTTGGTCGGACTCTGGCGAACTCAAAGTGGCCCAAGAAACTGCCAGATCTGCCAACACACCGTTCTGAGGGAAAAAAACTGTTCAGAAGAGATGTCGTTGGCATCAATTATGTCACACGCTCACCATGATCTGGTAAATCACGCCAAGTACTTTTGTATCCACCATATTTCATTGTTCTTTCTTAGTGGTGCGTCTACGAGCAAACACCCGTCTTGCCTACAATGTCGATGCTATGTTTGACAAGTGAGGATTGACAAGACTCTTGGATTTGATTCAAGGCATTCCAAGGCCTGCTTTGATTTGGCTATCAAAGTTCCAATTATTCAAACTATCTTCCTTTCTCAAAGCCTATAATTCCACGCCAGAAACCAAGAGCGGTTGTTGTTGCCGTCAAGTGGTCAAGGGGTGATGTCTTGAACACATTACATCCTTTGTGTTTACATATTTGTTATGTATTTGTTGCGAGATGTGAGCCGATTTCCTCATCCGGTGTGCAATGTACATAGTTTGGGTCGCGGTCAGCGACTTTGGCAACTGGCAGTGCGCGGCAGTGCGACAATTGATTTAATTCCCACTGAAGATGTTTGTTGTGAACGTTGGAGCCCTTTCCCTTGATACTTCTTGATACATCTCGATACATCTTGATACAAAAGGATAATTTGAAAAGCTACTTGATCAGATAGATCATTGGGGCAGTAGTGAAAATGCATTCTGCTACTAAGCAGCGTAGTCTAGTAGAGTCGTAGCACTTGGTTTGATTCGCAAAGCTTGGATCTTGGAGCATGATGGAGCAGGTTTACCCGAGACGGTGAAACCACACTGCTCCTGTCAGTTTTCGTTTCTGGTGCGAATTTGCACACCAGAAACTGCGTCGGCAATGCATGGTTTCTGCGTCGGTTCCCTTGATGGTCGTGACTTTTGCCGAAGCAGGCCCTGACACAGCAATGTGTTCTGGGCTTTGTGCCCCTATCTCTTGGAGATGGTCATGGGATCCAAGTTCTTGATCTGCCAGGTAATCAAACCTTGCCATCGGGAAATGTCTGAAATGTCACATGATTTCCATGGAAAACCGATCAATGGCTATGATGCGTCACATTGTTGGAGGATGCCAGAAATTCTTTCCATTCCTGGTGATATCACCCAGGGCCACTATGGCCACTGCTGCGGTCATTTACGGACCAGCACATCCCATGACTGTCGCCCGCGATATGTCCATAGCTGGCGAAGAGGAGGTGACAGCGCTTGATGTGACTTGAAATGAGCCGACTTGTTCTGATGCGGGAAGGCATTTCAAGAGAGTGCAATGCTGAAGCTTTGTTCAGAGTTGAGAGTTATTATCGTACACCAAACGGACACGACAACTCGCTATCTTCATTCTCCAGTGCTTGCAATGTTGTGAGATAGGTGGGTCAGACCTGTATTCTTAGCCGGGCAATGATCCGTGGATAATTTTCCAGTTTTCACTGATCATGTATAGGCCGAACGATACCCACAATAGCGGCGCCAATGATCAAAACCCTTTAACATCGAATCTTGAGTCGGGATTCAATTGTTGTATCATTGGTATCCCCAAAGTTGCTTCCTCCACTCAGCACTATCCTAACATCCCCGCAGCGCTGTTGCGACCATGGCGGCCGGGTTGCCCTCGTGGTCCCCTGGGAGTTGGGCCGTCCGAAGACCCAACGGTTGATGCTTTGTGGATTTCACCATAGAGTCGTAGAGGTATATATTGTTCACCTATCCTTGATAACTATATGTATTAGATATATATAGGGTAGAGGCCTGAGGTTCCCCGGAAGGCAATTGAAGTTCATTGTTGTCAACTTTGAAAAATGTCATTGTTCACTGTGTTTTACAGTGTTGTGTCTTCTTCCCATGACTTGAGAGCACAAGGAATCAGTTCAACATGCGGACAACATATCTGGGATATGTTGTCCGCTGTTTGAATGTGTTTTATCTTTTTCAAGTTCTTCATTGTATATTATTTTGTAGATTCCATAGCAATTGCGTGTTTTTTGGAATTTCAGGTTTCTTGTGATTGACATAAAAATGTCATAATTCCCAGAGAATCATGTGCGAAATGCACATGAGGCTTTTTTCTCTTCACATCCACAAAGCCGTTTTGAAAGCATTTGTAACATTATCTTCAACGTAACAACATCCATCTTCAACGCAACATCATCTTCAACGCAACGGCATTTTCAACGTAACAACATCTTCAATGTAACAACATCTTCAACCTAACAACATCTTCAACACAACAACATCTTCAAAGTAACAACATCTTCAACGTAACAACATCTTCAACGTAACAACATCTTCAACGTAACAACATCTTCAACGTAACAACATCTTCAACGCAACAACATCTTCAACGTAACAACATCTTCAACGTAACAACATATTCAAGGTAACAACATCTTCAACGTAACAACATCTTCAACGTAACAACATCTTCAGCGTAACAACATCTTCAGCGTAACAACATCTTCAACGTAACAACATCTTCAACGCAACAACATCTTCAACGCAACAACATCTGCAACGTAACAACATCTTCTGATGACGCAATGCAATGAACGTTAACATCGCCCCCACCCCCCCATCTGTTTGCATTAACGCAACAAGATCTTCTGATGACGCAATGCAATGAACGTTAACATCCCCCCCATCTGTATGCTACTATCTAGCAGAGAGAGACTCAAGGTTCCTCCGTGCTCCGGGGAATCTCAAGCCTCTCCCCTATGTATGTATATATACGCGCAACGCCTGGGTTTTGCCCATGCGTTGCAGCGTAGAGGTTTCCCATTCACAAACAAATGATGTTGCAAATTACCGTAATTCCTATGGGAAAATAACAAAGGTACTAGGGACTATTAAACAAACAAGGTCAAAACACCCGAAATTCCTATGGGAAAAACAAAAACGGCATAACATTTGAAATTCCTGTGGGAAAAACAACAAAGGTACTAGGAAATTTTAAACTCTCAAATCGTGAAACTTAACATTCAATTAGGAAGATCAACAAAGATATTAGGGAATATTAAACTCCCACCCCCGTTAAACCTTAAATTCCTATGGGGAAACCAACAACAAAGGTACTAGGGACTATATTAAAAAAAATGTCAAAACACCGAAATTCCTATGGGAAAAACAAAAACGGTATTAGGGAATATTAAACTCCCACCCCCGTTAAACTTTACATTCAATTGGGAAGATCAACAAAGATATTAGGGAATATTAAACTCCCACCCCCGTTAAACTTCTACATTCATTGAAGATCTTCAATAAGGGTTTCATTCTCCCACCCCCGTTAAACTTCTACATTCATTGAAGATCTTCAATAAGGGTCTAATTCTCCCACCCCTTTTAAGCTTCTACATTCATTGAAGATCTTCAATAAGGGTTTTATTCTCCCACCCCAGTTAAACTTCTACATTCATTGAAGATCTTCAATAAGGGTTTAATTCTCCCACCCCCGTTAAACTTCTACATTCATTGAAGATCTCCAATAAGGGTTTACTTCTCCCACCCCCGTTAAACTTCTACATTCATTGAAGATCTTCAATAAGGGTTTAATTCTCCCACCCCTTTTAAACTTCTACATTCATTGAAGATCTCCAATAAGGGTTTAATTCTCCCACCCCTTTTAAACTTCTACATTCATTGAAGATCTTCAATAAGGGTTTAATTCTCCCACCCCTTTTAAACTTTACATTCATTGAAGATCTTCAATAAGGGTTTAATTCTCCCACCCCTTTTAAACTTCTACATTCATTGAAAATCTTCAATAAGGGTTTCATTCTCCCACCCGCGTTAAACTTCTACATTCATTGAAGATCTTCAATAAGGGTTTAATTCTCCCACCCTCGTTAAACTTCTACATTCATTGAAGATCTTCGGTGAGGGTTTAATTCGTCCACCCCCGTTAAACTTCTACATTTATTGAAGATCTCCTATAAGGGTTTAATTCTCCCACCCCCGTTAAACTTCTACATTCATTGAAGATCGTCAATAAGGGTTTGATGATGTTGATGATGATGATTATTATGTTGATGAGCATGATGTTGATGATGATGATTATTATGATGATGATGATGATGCGTCGCCCGTCGTCATTGCGGGTCCGGGCAAAACCCAGGCATTTGCCGTATATATATATATATATTATTCTGTATATTAAGTTTCATCCATGACATGGGAATCCCGTTCTGAACATTGGTGTCCGAGACTCGTTGCGCCAAGCCACAATCCCAGCGCCTAGGCGGCACGTTCGCCGTGCACACCGCCTAAGCGTTTGGGTGTGGCTCAAAGCCAAGCCCGAGTCTCAGAGGGACAGCATTGTGATGTCCCAGTGAATCAGTTGGTTGAGAAAACTCCAAAAACTGTTGAGTATTGTCGGGTAGTATTGAACTGGTTTTCATGGGCTCAACAATAAACCAACAAACATAACTATAGATAATTAGATACTTAGATACCCATTTATTTATATGTATATATATATCCCATTATATTATCAATGATATATGCTGTTCCCATGGCTTTTCTTGTGAGATTCCCATGTTCACTGCAGGCCATGACACCTGCACCAAGCTCACCTCAGGCCGGGTGTGATGTGTGACATATATGTAAATATACATGTGACTATCTATCTATCTATCTATCTATCTATATATATACAATACAATGTATATATATAATATATATATATGTATATAGATATAATATATATATATATAGAGAGATACAAGTATCAGAGATATTAATACATATGTTATCAATGTATGATATCTGTAAAATATATCATCTCTCAATGATGTAGAATCCGTCATTCTCTACGACCTTGGAGAAATCGATGTGTCGGCAGATGGTGTCACATCGCCGTGGCTCGCAGCGAGTACGACAACTCAGATGCTGAGCGAGGTTTCCCCTTGAGTTCAATGGATTTTTTAATGGGTAGGTAATATCATGTATTGTATAAATATATATATATATGTTTGTGTATACACTATTTTTATCTATCTATATGTGTTCTTACTGTATGTGCTTATTGATTTACGTATTTACTCATTTAGTTGTTATATATGTATGTGTCGCTATCTACATATATACATATACATACATATACATACATATATATATATATATGTATATATATATACATGGTATAGCATGATATAACAATATAGAATGGTATAGAAGTACTCACGAAGATAAGAAGTAAGTAGAATCCAACAGACAAGATAGTGTCCAATTATGATTCTATTTCTGTGGGATCCCTTTAGTTCTGCAAGAGATGGTATAGCCTTTGGTTCAATGAGGGTCTGAAGGCAAAAGACATTATACATCCCAAGTGCCCATGACAAAATGCATCAGGATCATATGATCAAGCTAGCAATTCGTCAAGGGCAGTATCATCACCACCGGGCCGCCTATATACTGCTACCCCCTCATTCTATGTCAACTCTTCTAAAGTAAGGCCAGTTTGTCAATGAAAGACATTCAAAACTGCTAGCTGATTCTCAACATCCAGATGCTTCGACATCCCCAACATGGAACCCAAATCGTTTTTTTTCCAAAAAGAATTTCCGAAGCAGTTCTTGGGTTTTTTGTGTAAGTTTGCCCTGAAATGGTGTGTGTGTGTGTACATACCTTTTTTGGACAGACCCAGATGACACATATGGGCTATAGCTCTCATTATATCGAGTTATATCCCATTGTACCCGATTGTATTAAGTCATATCCCCATCTAGAATCCCATATTTCATCAAATTATGATCATAATATTTTAATCCAAAATTCATTGATATCTCGTTATCATCTCATCCCTGCGGCTGAAGCTGGGCACCAGTTTAAGGCTCTGACGCCGTCGGACCGAAGAAGCTACGGTCTAGCGCAGCGCTCAGGGGGGCGCTCAGAGGGCCTGTCCAATGACTTGGATGCTTTGGGGTACCCCCATTTTACGAAACCTCCATATGGTGTTGATTTGACTGTAAGCAGCGGGTCAAAAACCTTTGGTTTACAGCTTTACTGGCTGTACCGGATACGGTTTTTCACATGTAAGACGATGCCGGGGGTTGGCATGTCCCATATTCCGATGTTTGGGACATCCCATTTCAAGAGACCATCTTCAACCCTAGTGAGTCATGGTTGCTCCCGAATTACTTGGATAGATTGTCAGCTACAAGAGGTAAATGGGTTTATATACCATGTTAACCATCTTGACCATTTTACCATATTGAACCCTATTTCTTTGACTCCTCTTATCTCCTTTTCCTTCGCAACCAAGTGATTCAGAGGCTCGCAAGTCGCCCGACCCCGCCACACCGGGGATGCCACCAGAGCGCCTAGCATTGGAGATGAGGCAGGGTCCATGTGGGATTTGAATATAACTGGGATCTACCACCAACCGTCCTGGGTGATCAAAAATTTGATTTTGGCCATTCTTCATGGAATTTCTGGGTCTAATTTTGACCCATAGCCACATATGATGATTTGTTGACAATCCTTTTTGCAAGCATTTGTGACCCAATATTTTGGTGATTCCCAAGTTTGACCCCTGTAAACCCTTGTAGAATCCCATATCAATAGTAAAATTCTATTTACACGATATATATATATATATAGTTTTATTTATATACGTATATAGTTTTATATATATATATTATTCCCATATTGAAGCATGTTTAAGGCCTATGCAACTTACATCTCATTTCTCACTGGTCAAGTCACAGCGAGATCGCCAGGTCGACCCCTCCCACGAAAACCACCAAGGATGGGAAAATGCCAAGGCGGGGTCAAAAACACCGTCGAAGGCTCTGAAAATGCATGGGGATATACTTGGAATATGAGGGTCATTGGGATATACCAGGATATGGATAAGGATATATATATATATACGAATAAGCATGATATTTTGAGGGTCTGTAACAGAAAGGGATTGTTCCAGCCATGGCCATTTGAGTAGGGAAACATTATTTGATTCACCAGTGGATGGTCCCCGTGGTTTAAAGTCAAAAAAAACTATGGATGTATCCATTAGAAGCCCTTTTGACACTCTGGAAAACTAACATAACTATGGAAAATCACAATTTTTAATAGGTAAATCATCTATAAATGGGCCATGTTCAATAGCTATGTTAAATTACCGGAGAGTAGTTACGAACCAATAGAAAATTATTTTTTAGGTCCCATTCTGATGGGTTATCACCAGATGGTATATGAATGGCATGTCCGATAAAGACGTATAATATACCATATGCCATTTTGCCCTCAATGGCTATCATACCTTCAACGATTTAGGACACTGATTTTGACCCTAATTAGTACACTAGGAACTGTATAATAAGCCTAGCACAATCCAGTTCTATATCAAATCTTCCCACTTATACGTAGTATAACCTACTTTATATCTAATATGTCCAATGATGGATGGACTATCGGACTATGACTATGTCCAAGTTACGGCTTGGCGTGGGTTGACCACGTCGCGACCACGTCGCCTCGCTGTTCCGAGGCCCCGAGCCCGTGCGGCCTCCGAAACCGGCCCATGCGACCTTTGGCAGAAAGAAATGGGATGAGGTGATTTACCCCAAAAAGAATAGATTATATATATGACAATATATGAATGTATATACATGCCCTGGAATATGTTATGGTAAACAGGATGATAGCCAATGTGACTTTGCCAAAAAAATGATGGCCATCTTAACCATCTTAGGAATATGCGTAGCCAGGCTTACACAAATGAGTCTGACGCATGAGCCTTCTAAACTTTGCTTTCCACACTCATTGCTTGGTTAAAACAATGCCATGTTTACCATCCCCCAGTCATCACCATTTTTATGGGTGGTATGTAGAAACCATTCCCAGTCATGGGTGGTAAAAATGACATTGTTTTACCCACATTAAAGGTATGTCATTCCGGAAGATGATTCCACTTCCGACCTCAAGGAATCCAAGGAATCCCGTCCTCGTGGTGCACACAAGCCCGGGGTCCCGGTTGCCATTGGACAAGGGATGAGCAACAGATCATAGATTTTGATGATAAGATGCCGCATGACATAATTTATATGTTTCTACTGACATGTATATCTATACCATATATTTCAACAACTATGAGTTGTGTATTGGCACTTCATTGCCTTGGTTCCGCCCAATCTCCCTTGTGAAGCGAGAAATCATCCTGAGAAAAGACTAGCAAAGTTTTGCATCGATGTTTGGTCCAACAAATTCCCCAACGTGCGTTGCATGTGCTTCACAGGAAGACTGGGCAGATTTCCTCAGTAAAAAATCTCAATTTGAGTGTCCCCAGTAATCCCCCAAGTTTTGGGGTGGGAAAGCATCCTGTCGAAAGGGGTTTCCAGTCAAAGCATATACACATGTATAGATAGTATACATGTATATAGAGTATATAGATGTACATATGTACATGTACATTATGTACATATGTATATGTACCTCTCTATGTCTCCATACACAGAGAAGGTGCGTTCTCCGTGTATCTTCTTGCCTATTCCGTCCATGGACACATTGCCAGGTCGCCTGGCGACCAGGACTCCCAGGACTCCCAGGCAATGTCTAAAGTTGGGTGTTAGAGGTGGATGAAATTTCTCACCAGACAAGGGAATATCTTGAAAAATGGGAACATGGAGTGCCGCGAAATCTCATAGTTGATCATCATTCTACGCTTCTACGCATTAAAATTTAGTTAAAACGAGCATTTTGTGGTATCCTCCATGTATCCTCCATTCTTGGGCACACGCCAAAAAATGGCCGTTTCTAGTGCAATGCCTCCATGAGGCGCTGAAAGAACTGAAAGCGGAGAACCGCACCTTGCGCGCGCTGGCAGACAGGCCGTTCGTGGCAAAAGAGTCACAAGTGACGTCACATGTCACAGACACTTTTGGATTGTGCTAATTTGTGCTACCAATTCTCGGGATATCCTGCGATCTACCAAGACATGTAAGGCTTCATTTGTGGGATTGTCAACTCTTTCTTGAATCTTTTTTAAAGATCCTGAATAGCTCTGAGAGGAACACGCCCTGTTAAGAAGTGAAAGTACGAAGTATTACAACTGCTTGACAACTCCATCAGGTATACACCGGAATTCAATTTTTGGAGGGTGGTATATATACCCATAGGGTGCACAACTGGTCAAGGGGCCAAGTCTGTTGGGGTTCATCACACAGCTGGTATCAATGCTGGTGTGACTTGCCATGGTTGACTCGATGACAGCGTAGTTATATTGATGGTTCAGCAGTCACTCCATCTGGTGCACATCACATTCCCCAAATGCTATTAATTTCATGGAATGCACTCAGGTTCAATGCCACGACTAGTTGGTGGTTTCAAAGTTTCAGATACCATATACGTTACATTCCTATATGGAATGATCCTCCCAAATTGATCAATACTTTTTCTGGTGGTTTTACCAACGAACCAGAGGAGGTAGCCAAGCTGCATGTTGCATCAGGTTGCAGTTGCAACTTGCCGCTGTAGAGGAGTCGATGGACTTGTCGTGATACTTGATGGTTATTTCCAATTCCTTCCATAGGAATTGGATGGGTTTAAGATGGTTTAAGGAACTTTCATAGGTCGTGTTTTAACCGATTTGATGAATTTGGAGTGCAATCTCAGGAGAGCTCTATGTGAAGCCCAGCATCTTTCCTTTTCAAGAAACTTTTGGGCCAAAGTGCGAAGTGGTCAGATAAACGATTGGAAGCCATTATCGTATTTATTGATTGAGTGATTGAATATGTGTTTCTATGTATTTATATGAATGTATTATCATATATGCAATTATATGCAGATTACAAAGGTCATTCATTGATTCATGTCCCGACAAAAATATGCCGTACTCACTTTGATGCAGAAATATCCTGTGCCTCAGGAGAGTGGCCGGCGGTACCAAAATGCTGCTGAGGAGCTCTTGATAGGCAACCCGCGACCGTGATATGCACGAAGAACAGCAACAGCGTCGTCATCATCGTAGCAACTATCGCCGTAAACATAGATAGATCGATAGGTCAATAGATCGACAGTCATTATCACGGTAGAGTTCAGTATAGAAACAAACTTCGCCGCATCTCATGCCACGGAAGAAATACAGCAACGCCTCGGCAACAGGTGCAAGTGCAGGGCAGAAAGCCTAGAATGCTGTCGTTTCCACGGATGATTCCATCAATATCGGACAGAATACCTCAATGGGACCGAGATCCATAAAAACCCACATTGAATGGATCATATCCATATCCAAGATCCAATTAACATTAAATGGCCATGGAGAATATCCAAGCTTCAGGTGATTTACAGGTGATTTAAGGCCAGATGTTAAACGGGGATCTTCCGCAGGTGCTTGGGAGGACCAGATGGACAGACCTGGCCTCGGCCGAGAGGATGAGGACCGGACTGGACCGGGCCCTGCGGGCCCTTTGTGGAGCATCCTTTTCCACCTTCAAACGGCCAAAATGGGAGTGTAAATCACTGTAAATCCCAAATTTGCTGATGTATCTGATGTATCTGATGTATCTGGCTATGGGATCAATTTTTTTTTCAGATGATGTTCGGCAAAAACAAGTATTGGATTTTTTGTGATGGGTTTTTTTTTCTGGCGCTTTTAATTTTGTTGTGGTCTTTGGTCACAAAAAGCCACGCAGGATCAGACTCGCTGAAACAAGAGCATTGATCTTTTCAAAGGTCTTCTGTAATCATGTTTTCTCCATGAAAGTGGACGTGGACCTAATCTCCATGATCAATCGGGATATATGTTGAAATAATTCTGCTTCTACCTGGATTACAAATCGACTCGAGTCAGAAGCCACTTTCCATCTGGAAAGATGAGGTCACGCATCATTCAATCACCTTTATTCCCAAGATGTTGTTAGACCATGTTTTCCGGCGCGTATTTCTAGAAAGTCCTGATGGCCCTTTCAGAACAGGAGGAGCTGCTGGCTGCGTTGGTTCACCGTCAAGGCGCTGATTCAACAAGAAACACATCCAAATGTCATGACGAAGGTCGGAAGCTTCAGATTTCGCCAAGTCCACGGCAGGTGACTTACTTTGAGATGCTTCCTATAGCCAGAAGCAATTAGTTGCAGGGCAGAAGATCCACTTGGGCAGGCAGTGAGGGAGAGCTGCTTGAAAAAGCGCTGCAATGGCGGATGAAGTTGAAACTCATTGGTGACTAGGCATAGAGTTCATATATACATGCATATATGTTTGGATGTATACAGTGTATATTATAACATATTATATATATACGTATGTATATATACATTATATTAAGATATCAAATAATTATACGTTATACATGAACAAGAAAATAGGATCAAACAGTTATATGCACGATTTTACCCAAGTTCAAACATAGCCTGTATGTATAGACTTACCCATGCAAACTTTGGTCATAAGGGTTCTACGGGTCTGAAATGGCTTGTTTTGCCAAAGAAGTTGCAGCCAAGAAGTTAAGATGTGCCGCTGGAAATTGGCTCAGCTTGGAATACGGTACATCCGGAGGAGTCAGATCAGAATTCCCTGTAACATCAGACAATCCGTCTCATTCAACAAACTTGGGAAGTCTGATTTGCTGACAGCAGAAGCCAATCTCGGACAAATCTAGTGTAATTTCATTGTGGAATCCAAGCTCCGGCTGTTATATGATGAGTACAGGCATTGGCAAAGAGAGTGGAATAGTCCAATCTAGCTGACGAGTTGGAAGGAAGAAACGAACAGTGCCAGATGCTGTTTGTTATGTGATGGTATGTGTTCATCAGGAAGTCAATTGAATCTATTTTCCAATAAATATGATGAGGTGAAGCATTCGAGCTTCAGTTCACAAGGCGCGGACACTGAACTCAGATTCTGCGATCGTTTGGCCATGGACAACTGCAACAATCCTAAGTTCAGGCGATCAGCTGCTGGCTGGTGGGCATCACTAAGAAATACGGTCCCACCATGTGTGATATATGGTGAATAATGTTAGGCAAACAACAAAAAAACACCACCCATTGATAGTAAAGTTGGAGATGGTCCATTATGGACCAACACTAGCATCATTCCCAAGCCATTGCTTGTTCTCATCGAACATTGCCTTTGGAAGCCAGCGAAAGGATGATGAAATCATGGGGGCATACCATTGGTCATTGGCGGCAGATTTTTCCACAAAGTGGTAGGAACCCAGATAAGCTCGCATCGCATCTTTCTCAAGATTGCCAATCAGGGCTGGGCTGTTCGATATTTGCATTTACTGAATATGTACCACTCGATCTGTCAAAAAGAGATAGGACTTTTTGTTACTGTTATCCTATTGATATCCGGTTTGTATCGCATGTGCCCACTTGTGTCAGATGTTCTTTTGAAGCATCCTCTATTTGACCGGTGCCGATGTAATTGCCCCTTTGAGCTTGTCATGATATGGTGAACATTTGCATCGCTGATGGCTGCTGGGTTTCCATATTGGTTGCCTCACAGTCCTTTTTTTCGGCCGTGAAAGCGAGGTTCACTAAATTCACATCAAATAACCCGTGATACATGATACAAGGTTGTTTTGTGTGTGTGTGTGTCTATTGACCTAATACCCTTTGAATATATTTGAATATCATCTATGGACATACTATGGACTGGGTTTTTTAAGGGAGTTGATTTCATCCCCACCTTCATATTGAGGCGTTTTTCACATCGCAGGTGCAGCTTCTCCTTCAATGGCACCTCGTGGTTGGAGGTGACCTGTGGGACATGTGGTCATAAAGGTGATGGGTTGACGAAGAAAATCGTGGGGATATCATGGCTATAATTGGCCAAAATGGGAACGCTATAACTTTTACAACTGATACAATGGGGAGATCATGGCAGATAGGATAGAATTTGGGATGTCATTAGATGTAATGGATACACAATCAATATGATACCTGGTTGTGTCCAGAGGGAGATTTGCCCACCATTTGATAGCCATGAAATGATGGGTGGAATGCGACCAAAATATCCGGATGGGTCGCCGAACTGTGTCAGGGTGGGAATATCGATGAACTCACCATTTTGAGGCTGTGAAAAGCAGGAGATTCCAGGGATTTTGACTACCCATGTAGAATCAGTAGGTCGAGAAAAAGTTAGGCTATAGAAATTGAGCACGAACTGTAGCTTACCCTCTTGTAAACTAACAGTTCGCTATGGAAAAACACCATGAAACTAAGTTCTGTCACCTGTAAATAGGTCATGTTGAGTCATCTTCCATAGTCATGTTAGTTTGCTCATCTCTTCCAAGGGAACTCGGCAGCCTCAGGTGGGAGATGAAGGTCTTCGAGTGGCGCCGGTCGAGCCGCACCGGCAATTTCCGCCAGCTGTGGTGTGCAGTTCTTACCAGGTTGTACGTGGGAAATGTTTGATGGAAGTGGGAATCCCACTTGAATGGACTAGAGTCACTAGAGCCACCGGGTATTATCGATATCTGTTTTTTGGATTGTCAAATTCCGTGTGTAGCTGGTAATTCGGCCTTTGGAAGTGTTCAAACCGGTCCAATCTGAATCTCACACATAGACTTTGACTGGAAGAGACTCCAATCTGAGAGGTTTTGACGCAACAAATTTGATGTTGACCTGTTGGAAAAATCGTCGACTATTTCAATTTCGTTCGTGCTTGACAACTCTGCAGACCCTGCAATGCCCAGTGATCCAATACTCAGCAGTGATTATGATCCAATTCCAAATGGACATTGCCCGGACCGACTAGACAGGAAACTATAACCCTCAAGTTTTTCGTGGATGAATTAGCCTCACTTCGCATGGCATGACTCCTGCCAGACACGAGCCCGGCTGGGACTTCTTTGAACTCTGGGGTCATCCTGGCCTGTAACACCCGGCCTCATGCGATGCTCCCGAAGTTTAGGGAACTGAGGAGTTTGGGTGCTGTCGCTGTGCCGCTTCGTCCCAAGCGGCACTCATCCACCATCAGCAAAATTGCCCGTAAAGTTCTTTCATGACATTTCTATACTTTGCTAAAAATGGACATGTGCACTTTCTTCTTGTTCCTGCGTTGTTTCTCTGGGGGCGCGACTTGAACCGCGACTGGCTACGTGGCAGGTTCTTTCGCAAGTTCCATTAGCATCCGTCGATCCTTTCCAATTCGGTTGGCTTGGGGACTTGGAAAATCATGGTGGTGAGGCTATGTTTGGCCACAGTTTGGTCTTGAGATGTGCAGTTCTGTATGGGACGTTTCATTGAGAATTCCCCATGGGAAGCTGTCCTACTAGACAGTGGGATTTTCGTCCACATTCGTCCACCATCTATAGGTTGCTCCAAAATCGTCAAGCCGGTGTATTGTCCTTTTTCTGTGACGGGTAAAATGTCCGTTGAAAAAGAACCAAAACGCCATGTGATTTCATATTTGCTTGCCTAAATCTTGCATTTCCTCAACAAACACCTTGATTTCCCCATTTCTCTCCAGCTTTTGGTTTTCACCCCCAACTAATCAACTAACCCCATCCCACCGTTTCTTAGGTCCGAGTCTACAGCCAGTGGCCCAGCAGCGACGTCTTAGCCACGGCGCTGCACCCGGCAGGGCTGCAGGAGTTGCAACTGGAGCTGCCACAGGCTTCGCGGCACCTGACCAAGTGGATCGTGGCTGCAGCTTGGGTGTGAAACCGGCGAGGAACCTCTCAGATGGATGAGAAAAATGGTGGATTTAAGCCAATTATAGCATGAAATAGTTGGGAAGATAGTAGGGGATATGATGATTCAGCATGATTCAGCAGTAGATTGAGGGTATCCTATTTTCGGGAACAGTTTTTGCTGAGGTGTTCGAGAAAACTCCAGTAACTGTTGGGTTAATAGTAGACAGATCGAACTCGTTCAGTTTCCCCTGTTGTGGGACAGCCCCAGGAACTAGGCTCATTATTAACCAAGGCTGGATGGGGATATTTCAACCTAATTCGCCAAAAGTTAGATTTTGGGCAGGACATCCAAGATTGGTCATGACTAGTTGATGAATTGAACAACTAAAACAAGATTAGTAAGTGATGATCAATCATATGACCGGCCCTGAAAGCTATTGGTGGGATATGGCTGGGAAACCATTCAATGGGGATGGGGTCCTGAGAAAATATGAAAATTGGATTTGGATTAAAAATGTAACTGTTCCGGGAAAAAAGGCAGTTGCCTCGTCAAACTTTCATGTGTTTGCCTTGGAAATCTATGACCCTGACATCCCCGAGAATGAACCTAATTACTGCGGATGCCGCGCAGGTGGACTGAGTGGATTACTGGGTCATTTTGACAGGGGCTGCGGTACTCAACGGCTCATTAAGGTATCGTAGCACTTTTATGCGTTTTTTTTGGGGGGTTGCACTGCTGACGCGCTAGCCTCGCATACAACATCTAAAGAAGTCAAGTTGCAACATGATGTATTCTCGTATATATCTATCTATCTATCTATCTATCTATCTCACCTTTATAGGATAACTTTCGCGGAACACGGCTGACGCCAGCATTGTGCAGAGTTTCCGCTGGCTGCACTGCAAAGGGGCACCGCTTGTACCCAGAACCAAGTGATGTATCCTGTTGGGGGCAGGAATGGAAGGATGCAGTGACAGGGGGAGAGGTGACGCCCAGTGCTGCCGAGGTGTGTCCATCCACACTGGCCTTGAGAGGCCAGTGTGTTTTTTGGAGCCTGGCAGTTTTGGGAAGAAGCCTGTCCTTCTAGCATTGAGAAGTCATCAGGGATTTCCTACGTGTGAGGCCGACTGCGGCTTGTTCCTATGTTCATGCTAAGATTCGCAGCAGAGTTGGTGTGGGATGCACATCAAGAATCAACCAAGTCATGAAGGAACAATGAACAAAAACTATATAGTAATTAGATTAATTAGATATAGTATAGATATAGTATCATCCAGTTTCCAATTTCGAGAGGATTTACCCGGGGATGGCTTTCTCACATCGGCTCCCGTCCAGGTGAGATGGCGTCCTCCCCGAGGTGCCACTGGATGAGTCTGGAATATCGTTTTCCAATCGATAGGAAATTCTGGCCAACTACTGAGTAGCTACTGTGTGTTTGTGTTGTGCGATGCCCTTGGCCGCAGGATGCCTCTGACTGCGGCAGCTGCTGCTGTGCAAGCGGCACAAGGGGAGCTGGAAGCCAGTGATTTGGAGCGACGCGTGGGCCAATTGTCAGGACAGCGGTGGTGAAAGGCGAAAAAAGAGATGTCACCCAAGTGTGATATCATCTCCACCATCCAAGATGATCTTCAATATGTTGTATATGTCTAGGATATGTGTCAATTTGAATCAGTATATGGCCCAGATATGGCTGATTTTCTTGGGGGTTACCCACAAAGACAGTGTCACCAGGCTACCTGCGGCGTCACAAGAGCACCTCGCCATCCTCCGACTCCACCACCAGCGGATCCCAGTCGCCACGGCATCCACGGCATGGCGCAGTGGAGATCCTCGAGCAGCTCTATGAGGAAGAGGCCGAGGTTTTGCCAATGGGGAACTGACGGGAGCATGTTTTAACAAAGTTAACCGATTTAACATAATTTAACCATCAAAAAGTGGAGATGTTGGCAAAAGTTTTTGGTGGCTTCACCTCCAATGGCCAGAACTATCACATAGAATGACCAACCGCTGAAACAACAAGCCGCCCCCGACAAGAACAGGAATCCAGCAAAATGACATTGAAACCGTCGAACCCCACACGTGCCCAGATCATTGTCTTCAGGTAAAATAATACCTGCGGCTGCAACCCCAAGTCTTTCATCATGTTTATTAAATTTATTGCTTAGGTGTCCATTTTGGTGGGTTCAGCGTTGCCCCAGGTCTTAAGCGCCCTTCGAAGTGGCAAGCCCAGCGATCAGTGCCTGGAGGAGGTGACTGGTGTGCGTGCCAGGGATGATGAGATTGCCACGTTGAAGAAAGAAACCCGGCTGAGCTCCATGGGATCTCAAAAGGGAGGGAGAAAACAGGTCCAACAGACCCAACATTACATGTCTATGTCGTTTAATGACGTTTAATGTCTAATTGAGTGATTCGTTGTGATTTTGGATTTGTAAATATGGAATACATGCCGCACAGCCACTAACGGTGGGATATTGTCATCAAATTCCCACTGAGATCCAGCTGTATCATCTTCCTTTTTGCGCAGTCCAAGGCTGGCAGAAAGAAAAAGGGTGACTGCATCAAGACCTTGAAATCGTTGTTTCCGGTGCCCATTCAAAAAGCGCTTGAACTCAAAAAATGTGTGTTGCCGTTTGCCTTATTTGATAGATCAAATCCTGATGCTTGATGTTCTAAACACTCAATGGAGTTCATACATATATATATATGTATATATGTATATATATGTATATATGTATATATATGTACATATATTTATATATACGCATGTATACATATAAATATATATATATATGCCTACAAAGATGTCTACATATATAATTATGTGCGTGTGTGTTTAGGACATTACCTGTTTGTTAACCACTCAAGTAACTATTATGAATCATCATGATCAACTATTCATCCACGCCCCGTTTTTTCATGAATCCATGGCATTTGAGGAGTTGGAGCAAGAACGCCATGCCCGTGCAGCTGCAGAGGCTTCCTGGCGCCAGGAGTGCGACGCGACGCTGCAGCTGCGGGAGCAATACGGCAAGCTGCAGCAGCAGTTGCGCAACGCAGAGCGTCACTGGGTGATTTATGTGCCCGAAACATATGGGGTTAATAGTGGTTAAGGACGGTTGATATTGGTTAATAAGCATGCATAAACCCTATAGATGGTGATGAATGGGACATGTCCCAAGTCAGCATGGGTTTCAATACTGAGTCATGGTCATCCATGACTTGGATGATTTGGGGTACCCACATTTTAGGAAATCTCCAGATAGGTTTGATATCCAAACATGTTGAGATCAATGAAAAGGATAAGTTGATCAGATCATCATTTTTTCGCTGTTGGATGATTATGATCTCTGATGAAAATTGTCCACTGGGTCCTTTTCACAACATTTTTTCCCTTAAAATATTGGGGAAATGTTCAAAGACTTGGATGTCAATCAGCAGCTTGGGCCTTGTGGTTTAGCATTGGGGATTGTCCTCGAGAGGTTTGGAAAAATATTATGTGTTTGCATCGATACATGGCACCCTTGCAGCAAACAAGCTGGGTAGATCCAATTGAACATGAAGAATTGCTGAAGCAAAGAAATGTTGCAGTTTTGTGCTTTGTTTATGACAGATCTTCAATGGGGTTCATGGTTTGATTTGCATTATTCTGAGACCTCGCTACAGAGTCCCAAGGTGATCGAATGACTTCGGAGATGCAGGTGAGGCAGTTGAGTGCCGACCTTCAACATGCTCGAGCTGTGGCCTTGGATGAGCCCGCCACCCTTGAGGCTGGGGGGTGGCTGAGGATCAGTGGCGGATCCTGAGATTAAGCTTTCCTTTGTCGTGTTCAACTAGGTTAGGTCAAAAACAGACTAAAGGAAAGTCGACAAAACCTGCAGACAAACTCCAAAATCCAGACCTTGGCAGCCGTCCATTGCTGTTGCCTCGATTCCTTGAATTCGCTTAACATGACCATGGGGTTGGAACCCAGGAAAAAAAATGGCAGCTTGAAATCCCATGTTTAGATTTTTGCTGACAAACAACCTGTGACGTCAGGATGTGATTTCCAGCATGGTGTCCCTGGAAGTGAAACAGCTCCAGACCTTGAACCCCGAGGAACGTCAGTTGGCCAAACGTCGTTTGTTGCTGCGATGGCATCCCGACAAAAATGCTGGGACCGGAGCCGGCAACGACTTGGCCAAAAGAGTGATGCAGGGATTGCACGTGCATCCCGAATGGAATCAGGGGACGGCTTTGCCATAGCGAAGCTCAATTCAAGTGGCAAGCAAAGTTGATCAAGTTGTGACTGACTTTTGATTTGCTGAAATTGTAAGTTGTCCAAGCCCTTCCCTTCACGATCTGTGGGTGCACTTGATTGGCTGGGGCCATGATCTTAAAGCCACATCTGCACCCATGGATCTTGCCAGAATGATGGAAAATGCCTCAAACCTCTGGAATATCCAGGGCCAAAAACTAATCAATCAATTATAATTTCTTTGAAATGAGCAGAGCAGAAATAACAAAATATGCACAGCACAAATCGCAGGTTTAAGTTATCCAATGCAAGCATGAGTCCAGATGGCAAAAGCCCTAAATTATAGTATTTCATATCGGGGCATCCAGCAAATGGAAATATATTGGATTTATATTTTCACTATCGAAGGAAATTTAAAAGTTAAATTTCCGACAATATGGACAGATGAAAAGTAGAGGAAGAATCAGAGAAGAGAAGAGAAAGAGTTGGAAGAAAGAAGATGTAGGTTTGCGAAAAGGTATAAAAGTCGCGAAATACTCTGTTTTGTTAAGGTTTATTGGCTCTAGAGGGTTAAAAAGTATGCTTATTAAAGCGGCGGGTG